TTATACGTTGCAATATAAATGCCCTATGTCATAGATACAAATCTATACTTATACTATACCAACTATTGTCTGAACTTAGTAGTAATTAAGAGAGGAGGAGATGTAGTATAGAGAGAGAGAGAGAGAGAGAGAGAGAGAATGATACAGACAGATAGAGATACTACATAGATAGAGATATATAGATATATGGAGATATTTATCGAATAAAATCTGCATCAAATTCAATGATAAATTCACGAAAATGATTTCCTAAACAAAGTGGAATTGTAGAAATTATTTAGAAGTAAATGGATGAGGGTAAACCTGAATAGGTACGTCACAACTCACACCACATAACGTACGTTTTCTTAACGGTGAAATTTTGGCCCGGGGACCCTATAATATCTATTCTTCCCGTTTCGATGGAATAATTTTGGACCGCTGTGTTTCCTGGGGGATTATGTCTTTGACGTGTGACGTTTACGGTTTATTGACATCGATTGGGCGGTCGTGATTGTGGTAATTTGGTTATTTGGGATAAATAATTTAGTGACCCGTTTTCGATGACCTTGTTGACGAAGTAATCACAGTTCGTGCCGCAGCCGCATGAAATCTTTAATTATGGCATTACGTAAAAGGAAGAAATGGAACCTTTAAGTTACGCTTTTATAAGGTGTGAGTTAAGAATTGATTTTATGCATTCGGGTAGTAACTATATGATTGAATTGAGTGGCGTGTTTTATCACTGAAAAAAGAATAAATGTTTCCGTTAGCGTCTGTTTGTGGTTAGAGTGATCATCAAAAAGACAAGTATCCGAAAGACAGCAAAAAGGAAAACCTGTATTCTGTATCTGTATCTGTATAGCCGGTATAACCGCCCTTCGGCGTAACACACCAGCTTCGCAGGCACGCGGCGCGGCGGCAGCTGGCTACATTACACCGATCGACTTGTTACACCTAACCCTTGAACATCTAACTCTAGACATTTTTTAAAGCTATCTAATGATTATGAAGCTAGCTAAATAATTGTAATGTACAACGTATTGTCTGCATTTTTCATATCAAATATTAGTTCTTTCTGCACGTACGAATCGACCCCTTGAGTAGCTACATTGACAGCCGTAGTTAAACTTCCTTAATGCCAAACACGCCTGCGCGCTATTTCCGGAGATCATCGCTCATAACCATATTTGTCTTTCTGCCAAGGGTTCTGCCATGAAGTTGGCGCCAGGCTGAGTCGTTTGGCAGAACGCCAAAGTTGTCAAGTACAGGTTTTATCGTTGCCACAACGTCATTACAAGCCTCTAGCAGCATAGACAGTGATTGATTTTTCAGCAAGGTCATGCCGAAACGTGTCCAAATAAATTCGGTAGAGGGCCTAGACCTATGTCAGTTTGTCCAGAGTGCAAGGGCTATCTATCACTCAATACACTCTGCGGTTTTACCATATCCATAACACGAGATATAAAATGCGTAGACAGTGATTAATCTGTCAGCAAGGTCATACCGAAACGTGTTCAAATAAAGTTGGTAGAGAGCCTAGAACTATGTCATCTTGAAAGTTCATCTGTGTTGGTAGTCGGGGCCGACACCGTCTACCAGATACCTTTGACCCAGTGTTACTTTATACTATCATGAAAGTTCATCTGTGTTGGTAGTTACATGTTTAGAGTTAAAACTTTAGATCCAACACAAAGGATGCTATATATTTTAGGTCCCATCACCCTTCACTGAACCGCGACGGGGGCCGACACCGTCTACCAGATACCTTTGACCCAGTGTTGACGTCACACTTCAAAGATGCTACGTGACAAGCTTCACTGGGTCAGTCTACTGAGGAAGACCAGAGTGATTGGTCGAAAGGTCTAGGTGAGAGAACTTCTTTGTGTTGGGTCTTAAGTTTTAACTCTAAACATAGAACCATGTCACTTTTTCCAAAGTACAAGGGCTATCTATCACTCAGTATACTCTACGGTTTTAACATGTCCAGAACACGAAATATAAAATGATCAAATTCTACAATAGAACCGAGACGGCAGCCATTTGGCAGCGTGGCTAAAACTCTAAACTTATGTGGTTGGTGCAACTATGTGACGAAGTCAGAATCTGATGTTCCTGGCACATTGTAACACGTTTATCAGTAAAAAGCTCCGACACCCCAAAGCCTGTCAGCCAATATTTCTCAGCCAGTATTTCTCTAACTACATCACAGCATGAAAGTACATCAAATAGCTATACTTAACAGCATAAACGCATCTGAGTTGGCAGATAACTTGGTTAAAGCTTAGACATTTGACTCGGCAATTAGAAAACTGCCTCACCAAATGGATTTCCAGTCTAAAAATAGACCGATGAATGGGTAAAACAATCCAATTCGTTGAGTCAATTTTTCCATCAATATTATTGGATGAAAAGTTTACACTTCGCTGCAACTAAACTTTTCTTTTTCAGCCCCAGTTAGTAAAGTACGCGTCACGGTAAGTGTAAAGCAAGATATTAAGTCCCCTTGTCACATATTCACGAACTTTCCACGAATTTGTTCCCGACCACCAACCGAACAGGTCGCACTCCTAGAATTAGGCCACGCCTACCTTTTGTACATGAATCTAAACGAATTTGGCTTAAATTTGATCCCTGAATACGCCCCGAACACTGCTGACTTACTTACTTTTTTCCTGTCCAAACATATTATATTTTATTTGTCAGTAGTAGTGACTTTAATAGGGTCGAAAACCAGCCTATGATCGAACCTCCCTAACGCCCCACGAATGTTTTAAACATGTTTTAAACCACCCACCCCATACCATGGTCGGTGGGCGCTCGGTCAGCGTCTGGGAGGCCAAATTCTTGAATGAGTGAGAGGGGCTTAGCTACAACATAATGTATGCTTGACTTGGCACGCGACCAAAACAAAGAGGGCACAAGGCGAGCAAATGAACCTGAAGTTGTTCTCTCAAAATCTACCATTTTCTTTTGTATTTACATTTACATTAGCAACATAAGCCCCTAACATCATTTTCATTTTATACTCAGTTTGTTCTAAGCTTTTATAACATTTTTGTTCCAATAATCTGAAGACTGGTGTTGAGCAGTTTGTCATTTACGTTCTGCTGCGCTCAGTACGCCAGCTCTTTCCAACCCGGAAGTAGACAGACAAACGACGTAAACCCCAAGTAACTGCATGTAAGGTACGTTATAAGGTTTACAACTGTGATATATGCATGTTAGTACTCGTACTTTTTATCATTTTAGAGATTTGTTTATCGTAACACTCACGTGCTGTACGGTCTTAAATTGTCGTGCGATTTTCAGCAAGCGGCCAACGACAACAACAACCATTTCCGTCAGAGGACACACCCAACTACTCCTGTGCCAAAAATCCATGAATTACGATCCCAGGCCGATCCTAAAAAACACAAACGGGGAACAACCATGAGCAAGGTGAGTTGTAGAGTGCAGGCGTCATTTCGGGCTACATGAAATAACTCAGTAAAACTTACAATTTTAGTATGTCTGGGTAAAATATTAGTTGGAATCAAAGGTATTCGGACGAACTCCGATGAACCCCACCCACGCAATGGACTAGTCCAAACACAATTAGTATTGAACTATAGGGTTTATAGGATAAGTTTATTGCAAATTTCTATCCGAAGGCTAATGGCAAATAATAAGGATAAAAGAACACTGAAACAAAGTACAAAATACGTTGAAAATCTACATAATAAAAGTTTAGCTATAAAAAATAAACTAAAACTATAATAGCTATGTCTAATTAAAACTATGTCTGAAAGGTTTGACTTCTCTTTTGTAAACCATGGAAGACGTAATGTCCCACCTTTTCCAAAATTTGTGGGTTTTGGGTAGTTAATAGAAGAATATTTTTTTTAGATAAGATCATAAATTGTAGAAGTTTGAATAGACAATTAATTTCGAGCGTTGTTATGAAACGAACAGTTTGAGATAAAGTGTATTTCGTCTTCCACAGCTTTAGCACTACAATATAATACCTACAAATTATTTCACATACAGGTAATCTTCTATACGGACCTTTCTATATTTCCAGAGGAATTGTACGTTTCACCATCATTTTGAATGTTAAAAAGCAACATTGAAGGAAATGATGGATCATTAAAGCAGAAATTATTAATAATTAATAACCACCCTATACCATAGTGCATTCTCACTCAGACTATATGAGTCATGGTCCCCTCTTCACTCCCCCATATTAGGAAAATTACACAATTGATGACGTCACGTCTGGTGACGTACAAGAGCACATGGAAGATCCTGTATTCAACACTGGTGAGTTACTGAAATATAGTTTTGTTTTAGTTTACAACATTTAAAGCCACACTGATTTAAATTAAGAATGGCATCCGCGCGACATCCACGGCTCGTCCGAAACGTATGATGCCCCGGATCTTATCTCCACCATCGTCCAAAAACGTGGCGACGACACAGGGCAGAGGCAGTACGTTCACGAAAAGATTTCGCGTGTTCTAAAAATAAAATAACGTTCTCCTAGGCTCTGGCCTTGGATGCAGGTGCCATCCTCCATACTCTTAATTGCTAGTGACAGTATATAGGGAGCCGGCGGTAACTACAGAGAACGGCACCCAGGCTACTAAAGCTGAACTCAAGAACTCATGATCAGTACAGTGCAGACTCATAAATGCCACAAAAGGCCAGCATGTGCCGGCTTGTCGTAAATGTCGCTATGCACTACCGAAAATTCACAATACCAGCTTTGTATTCCTGTGGTTTAGTAGCATTTTTTGCTGGATTTTTGCATATGGCATTTCAGTGACGTGGTGTAGTGGCTGGTGATACCGGTTTTAGATCAGAGGGATGCGTTGGGATTGTTTTTCGCACTTTTGCATTAGATTTAGGGTCTCCAGGGGACGTCATCCATAAAAATTACTTGGTGTTGCCTTAAACAGGATTACAGGGACAACTTGAGACAGCGCCCCCTGCCTACGATGCGGCAACTGCAGCCGCTGGAGTGCATAATTTGGCACTCGATGAAGGTGAGCAATCGAAACCAACGCCATATACCTATTATATATTACGAACATATACATCAAGCTGTTAAATTTCATCCCATTTATAATGGACAGTGTTTAGGGTTAGGGTTAGGGTTACGGTTAGGGTTAGGGTTAGGGTTAGGGGTTAGGTTTGGGGCTAGAATTAGGGTTAGAGGTTAGGGTTAGGGTTAGAGTTGGGGCTAGAATTAGGGTTAGGGGTTAGGGTTAAGGGTTGGGGTTAGGGTTAGGGCTAGAATTAGGGTTAGGGGTTAGGGGTTAGGTTAGGGGTAAGGGTTAGGGTTGGGGCTAGAATTAGGGTTAGGGGTTAGGGTTAGGGTTGGGGCTAGAATTAGGGTAAGGGGTAAGGGTAAAGGGCTAGAATTAGGGTTAGGTTAAGGGTTAGGGGTTAGGGTTAGGGTTAGGTTAGGGTTAGGGTTAGGGTTAGGGTTAGGGTTAGGGTTAGGGTTAGGGTTAGGGGTAAGGGTTAAGGGTTAGGGTAAGGGTTGTGGCTAGAATTAGGGTTAGGGGTTAGGGGTTAGGTTAGGGCTAAGGGTTAGGGTTGTGGCTAGAATTAGGGTTAGGGGTTAGGGTTAGGGTAAGGGTTAGGGTTGGGGCTAGAATAAGGGTTAGGGGTTAGGGTTAGGGTCAGGGTTAGAGTTGGGGCTAGAATTAGGGTAAGGGGTAAGGGTTAGGGGTTAGGGTTGGGGCTAGAATTAGGGTTAGGGGTTAGGGTTAGGGTTGGGGTTGGGGCTAGAATTAGGGTTAGGGGTTAGGGTTAGGGTTAAGGGTTAGGGTTAAGGGTTGGGTTATGGGTTGGGGCTACAATTAGGGTTAGGGGTTAGGGTTAGGGGTTACGGGTTAGGGTTGGGGCTAGAATTAGGGTTAGGGGTTGGGGTTAGGGGTAAGGGTTAGGGTTGGGGCTAGAATTAGGGGTAGGGGTACAGTTGGGGCTAGAATTAGGGTTAGGGGTTAGGGTTAAGGTTGGGGCTAGAATTAGGGTTAGGGGTTGGGGTTAGGGGTAAGGGTTAGGGTTAGGGTTAGAGGTAGGGGTTAGTGTTAGGGTTAGGGTACATCTGAATCCATATATTTGTATCCTAACGCATTATACACCTTACATTTCAAAAGAAACATAGGCCCTTAATAAACCACCATCAAAGTTTGGAAAAGTGTACCTTTCATAAGAAATGAGGCTCCAGGCTCGGGACCTATACTTTTGGTACCACAGGTAAAGAAATACACAGCGTGCGTCTCTTCACTGCACGCGAGGTTACCACGTCTGTGCATTCCATCACTAGTTCTGTGATTGCACGTTGTTGGTACGTGGGACTCACATGCTTGTATCCTTTCACCTAGCTGTATGTTTGCACGCCGGGAGCCCTAAATCCAGGTAGATTTTGTTTTCTAGCCGTTCCGGCAGCACGGACGATCCGAGCGACCGTTGTCCAGGCCCTGCCGGCTCCAGGTCCGGACTACCTGCTAAAACTGACCGCCGGGGACCGAGTCCAGATCATCCAGCAACACATCCAGGGGAAGGGAGGAGTTTGGCTGGCCGTTCACAACGGCAAGGTGGGGATAAACGAAATGAAATGAAAAATTAATATGAAAATGACAAGGATGATGCAAATTATAGCCTCTACCAGGCTTCAGGAGGCGGCAGGAAAGAGCAGAAATCGGCCAAATATAGAGAGATAGCATGCCAAGGGAGTTGGTCTACTGGAGAGAACAGTTTGCCGCAAGAAAAGTGCAGTTCGGGAGCGGCAAACTGTTCTCTCCAACAGACCAACTTCCTTGGCATGCTATCTCTCTATTTGGCCGATTTCTACTCTTTCCAGCCGCCTCCCGAAGCCTGGTAGAGGCTGGCAAATTTGTCAAGTAGGTCCTGTTGTTTCAGAACAGGAGCTCCAGTGTCATTGACAAAAGGTAGTGGATGCTACCTGAAACTTCTGACCGTTTCCAAAATCATATCCAGTTTCTTAAGTAACTGTTTCTTGGCGTATGTCATGTGTTTGTTAGGTGGGGAAGGTGAACCCGGCATGCCTGAAGGTTGACTACGAGCCGACTGACCTGGTGCTGAAGCCACCCACTATCAAGTAGGACCTTCTTCATCCTTGTCCTGTCATCTCGGTCATGTAATAGTTACTCCTGTTCAATAACTTTTTTTTACAATTGGTTAGCATTAGTATTTGTGTTTATATGTTAATTGTATTTTACAGTGTGGTGCTGTTGAAAGTGCAGCGGCACACTGTCCTTGTTATACTGTTTTGCTTTGGTTTGATGAATAACAAAACTCTCTACAGCCCGTTGGTCCAAACCCTGACCGCCCAGACAGTCCGGCCCCACCACCCCAACGGACCGGCCCAGCTGACTCTGCACCTGTGGGAGGAGGTACGAGTGGTGGAACAGCCTCCTACGGGTCCGTGGGCGGTTGTGAGGGAAGACAAACTAGGGATGGTGGACCCAGGGTGCCTTAAGATCATACCGAGTCAGCAGCCTTCACTAAGGGACCAACTTTACAGGTACATTATCATAAAGGTTCATCTATGTTAGTAGTAATCATGGTGGAATGTTGACGTTTATTCCAACACAAGGTGACACAGAGATCAAATTTTCAACGACCACTCTCGCCTTCGTCAGGATGATCAGAATGAATGAATGAATGAACAAGAATGCCACGATCCCTGGCATGTCCAGATCATGAGATATGAAAACTGGAAATTCTGCTGCAGTACAAACGAAAGCCGCTAGGGGGCCCAAAATCTAACCAGTTCTAGATCTCATCAAGACCTACCCACCTACCATGTTTCATGACAATGCATATAAAGCTTCTTGAGTTATGCTGCTCACAAACAAACAGGCAGACGCTACTGAAAACATCGAACCTTCTTGGCGAAGGTAATGAATGAATGAATGATTGAATGACTACATATTAAACATTACAGAGACAGTAAGACGGGGAAGTGGATCTCAGACCTGCGCGGAAGAGGTCTGCACTCCCTGCCGGATGAGCTGTTCACTCTATCCGACACAAGCGAGCTGTACGCCGCAGACAACCTGCTGACAGCCCTGCCCGATGCCCTCACCAGGCTCCCCAACCTGCTCCGACTTACCGTCAACAGGAACAAGCTTCAGGCCTTCCCAGAGGTCTGTAGTAGTCTCCACCAGACTTCTTTTGCAGGCTGAATAAATCGTAGAAATCGGCCTAAAAAGGGCCAATTGGACCCTCGATGGCCGGGAAACACCTCTGTCCAATTATATGCCCTTTTTAGACCGATTTCTACGATTTATTCAGCCTGCAAAAGGAGACTCGTGGAGTCTGGTCTGATATCCAGTCTATCGTGGTTGGAGCAGGCTGTCCTAGAAGAGCTTCAGTAGCACCGAAAAAAATACCCCAACCGCCATAGACTGGTCCAGGTTAAGGTCTGTTTCTGTATTGGGGAGGGCCAAAGACAAACCACCAGGTTTCCGGTCCTCCCAGGCATGCCTATTTATTTCTCAATTGTAGGATTTTGTTTTTATTTGTAAATGCAAAAACAATAAACAAACAAACCGAGAATACTAACCATTGCATCATACACCACTTCGGGCTACCACAGGTCGTGCTGAAGATGGTTGGGCTTGAAAATCTGAACCTCGGCGAGAACGATTTCTCCAGCGTCCCCAGAAACATCGTACATCTTCAGAACGTGAAGGAGCTCTGGCTGAAGAGTCTGGAACTGGAGGAGTTACCTGAAGAGGTAAGGTAACGTAAAGGTAACGTAACGTAACGTAAGGGAAAGTAACGTAAAGGTAAGGTAAAGTATCAAGGTAACGCACAGGTGTGGGGTCGTGTGGCGTAGCGGCAGAGTGCTCGTCTCGGAACCAAGAGGTCCCGAGTTCGAGTCCTGACATGCCTGTCCTGTCCTGATCTTGTGCCCTTGGGAAAGGCACTTTACACGACTTTCCTCACTTAACTCAAAAATTAGTATTTTCCTGTTCCGTATTTGTCCTACGCGTTGGTGACGGCATAAAGTAAGTTGATATAACTTGGGTGTGCCGACATTTTTAACACCTCAATCCTTGGTTGATAACTCTGGTACTATGGTCTATGTTTACAGGTCTGCCTCCTCAGAAAGTTGGAGCTCCTCCACCTCGGTTGGAACAACCTAACCAGGCTACCCGGCAACTTCGCCCAGCTGTCTGAATCCCTCACCAAACTTCTGCTGCAGAACAACCAGTTCCAGCAGTTTCCGGTGGAGGTCTGCGGCGTGGTCAGTCTCCGGGAGCTTTATCTGGACCAGGGGACTGGACAGAAGTTCACGGTCATCCCGGACAAAATCGGCAACCTCCGGAACCTCAAGATCCTGGTGCTGGACAACAACGCACTGACGTCACTTCCGGCAACGGTAAGTCGGTTTGTCGGTAAGTCGGCGGAGGGACGGTTTTGCCGCCGAGGGACTTTGCCGGGGAGTTGCCAACTCTCTCCAGGCAATCTCCCTCGGCGGCAAAACCGTCCCATCGCGTCGCTCCCCCAAAAAACGTTAACACCGCTACCTCAGAAGTCTGCGAAAGAGACTAAGTTATAGGAAGAACACACACGTTTTCCGGGCCTCCTAAATTTGCTTAGTACCTGTAAACGCATTGCCGGCCCTCAAGTAAAAGTGGGATAACTAACCTTCATATCACGGTACTTCGCAGATTGGACATCTTGCAAGCCTGGACACCCTGATGGTCCAGAACAACCAGCTGTCCTCCCTTCCGAACGAGCTGTGTCTCCTCTCCAAGCTGAGAGTCCTGTGGCTCGGTAGGAACGCCCTGCAGCGACTTCCTGAGGAACTACACCGCCTCACCTGCCTGCAGAGTCTGCGTCTGGACGGGAATCCGCTCTCATACCCGCCACTGAATGTGTGCCGTATGGGCATCGAAGCCGTCAGGGGGTACGTATAGGTTTTAGTGGCCAGGGGCAAATATGGAATTACAGTGCTGGACGGCTCTGTTCCAGAGCTGAACGTTTTCTCAGCTCTCGGTTTCCAGTGCCGAGAAAGTTTCAGCACTGGAATTCCAGTGCTGAGGACCACTTCAGCTCTGGTTTCCAGTACTGAGAAAGGAGGGCGTTACTTTTGTATATCTCCTTTAGTAGGTGGGTAGGGGTGACGAAGAATAAGGTCAGGTACGATAATGGGCTCATCACCCTACACTGAAGTGCAACGGGGGCCGGCATCGTCTACCAGATACCTTTGACCCAGTGTTGACGTCACACTTCAAAGAAGCCTCGTGGCAAGCCTCACTGGATCAGTCTACTGAGGAAGACCAGAGTGACTGGTTGAAAGTTCAAGGTGAGAGAATTTTTTGTGTTGGATCTAAAGTTGTAACTCTCCTTGTTGCAGATACATGCAGCATCAGAGGGTAGCCGAACACCAGCGTTCGGTCGCTGCCAAGTCCAGAGAGAGGGAGACCAAGGGCTTTAGTTGGAAATGGTGAAGGTCCCACAGCCTTTTAGAGGCTGTAGGGGCAGTATGTTGTTAGCCCTATATTCAGCCCGGAGGGGAGGGGGTCTTTGAATTTGAGGCCCACGCCAACTTTCATCTCAGATAGTGCCTGGACGGCTTGCGCTAGAACCATCAAATTTGGTGCTTTTTCCTAAAATATATCTGGCAACAATTGAGTTTTACGAAAAAAATATATATTGATGGTTTTAGCCAAAAAAAAAAACTCACATAAATGACGTCATAATGACCAAAGTCGTTATGATTTAATTCTACTACTACTACACCATTTTCTGAACACTTTGTGGCCCTACAATAAGTGGTTGTTGAGTTACAGGGGGTGGGCCTCAAACGGACCCGCCATGGTCCCAGCATGACCAAAAAAGCCAGGTCTGAATACATGTGGGTTTAAACCACTAAGTCTAGGGTACTGTATCGGAAGGCAGAGCCCTTCCCTCTCCTTCCACAGCCTTCTACATGTATCTCCCCAACCGAAGTCAGGTACCCATTTTACACCTGGGTGGAGCAAGGAGGTTAAAGAAAACTCCTTTGGTGGAGTGAGGAAATTTGTGTTAAAGTGCCTTTCCTATTAAAGACAACATCTAGTGTCAGAGATCAAATCTAATGCCACCTAACCTAGCCATTTGACAAAATACTAGTTGAAAGTGGCTATGAGAAATAGATACAAGCTTTGAATATACTATTATAATAGTATTCAAGGAAATTTTACATAGTTTCTACTGCGCAAAAATTCTAACACAGCCATTATCTGCCTTTGAGATTGAGAAAAATTGAAGGAATTTCCTTTTTTCTTATTATGTCAAACAGCAACAAAAATACATGTAGGCTATCTGTGAGTTAGATAACCCTCTTTTAGATAACAGTCAGGTGAAAGAAACATCATATTATTAACAATACAACAATATATCCTTATATATCCTAGTATGTCATTGATACGAATCGGATATATTCTAACTTTGGTGTAGGTTGGCATGAAATGCTGGCTATCGTTATCAAATGAACGGTGTTTAAAAAATAAGATTATGACTAAAAAAGTGTTATAAGCGTAAGTAAAATGTGGAGAGATACCCAAACTTTTGCAGTCTTGTTACTTGTATATTCCCTTGACATAATATATCAACATGAGGAAATGAGACTAGAGAAAAAACCCCTAGAAAACATCGATTGAAGCAAATACAGCAAAAGACAACAAACGTTTTCTTGTAAATTCATACTACTGTACTACTTAATCATAATGATTGTGCAACGTATAACTTGAAATACTTTTTTCTACCAATGACTCTTACATACTCTTTCACTAAGAAGAACAAAACTACACAACGTTATGACTATACATGAGGGAATTCACCCATGGCAAGGAGTTTGTATACATAATCTTTGTCTAAGTAGTGTTCATTTGGCTTTGCTAGGAATTCCAAGTATCTGGTGTCGTTCTTGTTTAATGTGAACAGTATCCAGACAAAGTGGTTCACCAGAGCAGTTCAAAGCAAGAAGTTCAAAGTAGTTCACCAGAGCAGTGTCAATGGCTTCAAGAGTGGCACTGACAGCTACATCAAGACTGTGTTCCACGGAGCTGCTCCAGTACCAGAGGCTACCTGTCATCAAGCTCAGAGATATACAGGAACATCTCTCTGCAGTTCAGGTAAATTCAGTTTACGTGTACATTGTAGAAAGGTAAACGCCCCATAGCCTTTTTAAGGCAGTATAAGGAAAGTGGGTTGTTAATCCACTGTATCTAGGGTACAGTATAGAAAGGCAGAGCCCATCCCTCTCCTTCTACCACCTTTAACTCCAAAGGTACATCTGGAAAGTTGTGTCAAATGCATTTTCCAGGAATGCCGGGAATCGAACCCATAACCTCTTGATCGCGTGCCTGCTTGCCTGGCCACCTGAACATTGGATGCCACAAAGTGGCTAGTGTTAAATGATTGTGTCGTATTTTTGTAAAACTTAAGTACCGGTAGTTCTGCAAATACCATGTGGCTTTATCAATCTGAGTACTTCTACTTGTACGTCTAACTGAAAGTACTTAATATACATGTACAAAATGTACATTAAATTTATGCTGAAGACGGTACTAGTACTACTAGTATTCTTCCAGCTGCAATGGTGACAAGACCTATGGTGGCAGACCTACAATGTAGGTTTGAGACCATTTCTCCAAAGAACACAAGGGATTCGAATGACCAAAAACCAACATGGTGACAAAAACGTCAATTACCGCACAAAATTACACTCTATACGTTGAGTGAATACCAAATACCTGTCTCAAATGTGGTGGTGACCAAAAACTGCGGTGGCAGACCACTAATCTAGGTGTGAGACCATCTCTCTCAAGAACAAAATGAAGATATCAAAACTAACATGGTAAGAAATACATGTACAATGCAACAACTTGCAGCAAACAACATCACTATGGAATAAGCTACCTCGTGATTGTTTCCCTTATGAGTATAACCTTAAACTTTTCACATCTAAGGTCAACAAACATCTGTCCTCACTGTCTGTACAGTAACCCAAAACATTTTGAGTGACTCCCATGAGCCTTGTTTTGTGGTGACCTATGAAGTAAATAAAAAAATTATGTAATGCAAATACTCCTATATGTTGAACACTGAGTGGTAGATCATTCCGAATGCGGTGGTGACAAAAACTGCGGTGGCAGACCACCAACACAGGTAGGAGACCACCCCTCTGAAGAACACGGCTGAGAAGATGTTTCTGAGACTGGCAAAGGCCAAGGTCAGCTGCTGGGCTGCCTGCTTCACAGGTTCATCGTCTCCGGCAACCTGGGGATTTAAGTGTAACATCCGTGAATAGTTTCATCAGGTTGGTAAGGCACTGAGTGAAGAGACTCTTTTTACACAACCAAGTCTTTTCATTCAGTTGACCTTTCGGTGACCGTCTATTAGTTTTTCCAGCATGAAACACAGGCATGTTTGAAAATGTGACTGAGTCTTTAGTAGTTACTGTATTTGTTCAATCTAAAATTTATTATTCTGAAACATGAACTTTGGTGAATATAGTCAGGTTCTATCATGAAAGTTTATCTGTGTAAAACTTAGTAGTAACATGTTTAGAGTTAAAACTTTTGGTCCAACACAAAAATTCTCTCGCCTAGAGCTTTCGATCAGTCACTCTGGTCTTCCTCAGTAGACTAACCCAGTGAAGCTTGTCACATGGCTTCTTTGAAGTGTGACGTCAACACTGGGTCAAAGGTACTTTTAGTATCTGGTAGACGATGTCGGCCCCCGTCGCAGTTAAGTGAAGGTTGATGGGCCCTGATGTAAATAGTAGCCTCCTTCACCCCTCTCAGGAAATAGTCTTTTTGACCGCGACGGGGGCCGACATCATGTACCAGATACCTTTGACCCAGTGTTGAAGTCAAACTTCAAAGAAGCCACGTGACAAGCCTCACTGGGCCAGTCGCACCAGGAAGACCAGAGTGACTGGTCCAATATAATCCAATACTAGAATTTCCTACATGAAACCCAAGCATATTTGAAACTTTACTGTGTGTAGTAGTCTTTGCTGTAGTGTTACTGTATTTGTTGGATCTAAGATATAAAATTATTCCAACAGGAGTTGCAGAAAGAAGGATGAAGTTTCCTACCTGTTGTAGTGAGGGGAAATCTGTGAAGTTTTTAGTCAGGTTTCCAGAATCTGGAACATGGGTCCCTGTCCACGAGTATTCACCTGGGAAGACGAAAGAAAAAAAATAGTTTAACTCATGAAATTCGAAATTGGTGTGGCATAAATACATAAGACAATATGTCATTGAAGGTTAGACAACATGGTAATATTGAATCTTTATTTGCATGTTCATGCCCATGGGGCTAAATGCATACATCAGAGTATGATGTTACATGTACATCATACTGAGTAACATGATACATAGGGTAGAAGGATAACAGAATAACGTAAAAGTCTTAACAACAACTAGAGAATGCTTTCTATCTGTAACAAGATAATGGTAATAAGATAGGCCAAAAACAGTGTCAGTTACTCAAGCAACTAGATACGATTTCAGGAATGATCATGATTTTTAATATTTTTTTGACTGATGATTGACTGTTTCCAACATTATATCCAGCTGCTTGTAACTGTTCTTGGTGTAACATAAGACAATAGCATAAGAGTACATTTTATGGCCCAGGAAATTTCAAAATTACTTACCTAAAGTTTTGAGGAGAAGGGTGTAAAATAGAAGTAATACGACGGGTGCCAAATACTGCACAGCTACCACGCAGAGATAGAAAAACACTCGGACAATCTGTGGAGAGAAAAAACATCCAGATTCCAGTCAAATGATCAAAACTAGTCTTTAATAGCTAAACTAGTTATATACTAATTAGCTAGATAGACACATAAATGAAAATAATATTGAAAGTTCAATGGTGTTGGTAGAAGTCATGATGCAAGTTAAAACTGTTATAACATATTAGACTTACCAAAATTTTCAAATGTTCACAATTTACAACTTTAGTGAAGGAATGTCACAAATATTTTGTGCTGGAAATTACAGTTTAAACTTCCTTCGTGATATCAAAGTTCATCTATGTTGGTATAAGTCATTATGAAATAAAGACTAAGCTTTAACTTCCAACCGACAGAAATAGGACTTACCCTGAATTACCCCTGAACAGAGACGGGGGGCGACACAAGTTATCTGGCACATATGACTCGCTACTACGGACACGTGTCTCTGACGTCACGTTCCAAGAGTAGACGGGTCAATTCCGTAAACAAGGTTGATGGAGTCAACCAAAAATTTGGGGTAAGTCCCATTTCTGCAGTCTAAGACTGTTAAGAGTGTTGGAAGTTAAAGCTTAGTCTTTATTTCATAAAAGTTATAACTTGCCCTTTTCTGTATCTCCATGTTACTTATCCTGCCAGCTTGTTTCTTGACGTGTTCTATTCTCTGGTGGGCCATGTTCAGGTATGACTGCAGGTAGCGGTGCATCAGCACAAGTCGCAAGACCACGCAGAAAATAATGGTGTACAGCCGACTGGTCTCAAACCAGGGTTCACTCATCCTAAATTAAACACAGGTGGGAAACCAAATTTGTTTATAGGTACATTGTAATATACATGTATATGAGTAGTACAGCTACAGCTTCCTTGTTCTTCTTTACCATGACAGGATTTGGCGCTCCTGGCCCCAAGGACCAGTATTGTAGTATGGAGGCTTGTGTATTTGCAGAAAGTATTTCCAAATTGCAGAATTACAAATTTTGACTCTTCTGCAATATTGTAAAGCACTGAAAAAAAGTATTTTGACCACTGTACGTGTATTATGTTTGTAGTCCATGTAGTATGTAAAGTAGTAAAAGTATATATACTCACAGAGGTTCTACAGGCACAGTGCTGTTACCCCCCAGTGAGGGGGGGTGCAGGACGTACCCCCTGGCCAGTGGTTTCACCCACAGCAGAACCACCACCAGAGGCCACAGGAAGTTCAAGTGCAGCAGCAGCCTGGATGGACAACATCATAGTGACATTACACCTAACATTCTGTACCCGTCAGGCCTAGGAAAAAATTTCCTGTTTCCTGACCAACCCTAGAAAAAAACTGCCAATCCTAGACTTATGTGTGTGTGTGTGTGGTCCCCTGCATTTTTCAGGACTGAAACAGGAAACACAATTTTTTTTCCCTAGGCCTCATGAAAGTTCATCTGTTGATCAAGTTTTTCTAGGCCTAAGAGACAGTACTGGTTGTGTTTTAAGAAAATCCCAATTTACAAGTTTCATTTTACAGTTTTATTAAGAAAATCAGCCTCGCAGCATGAGGTACATGTACAGCAAGCTCAATTGCATAATGATTGCATTCAAAACAAAGAAACTCAGGCAAAGCTATAAAATGCCTGACTATGGGTGTAAAGTAAAACAAAGAACGTCCTAGAACAGCCTTACTGTAGCAGTGGGCTCTCCTTGCTGTACTGGAGTGAGTCTTGGTGCATCTTGCCGAAACGGAGTCCACTGAAGGTGAGGAAAGCTCCGACCAGGGCTGAGTACACGGCCAGAACGCCCTTAAACATCAACTTGGAGCTTGGGGAGCTGGCAGTACTGCAGTCAAACATAACATGGCAATCAGAGATGGCTTTATAACCTGTCTTACCTTACACTGCTACAGACATTTTGTAGCACGAAGCACTGAAGAATCGTATGGCAACTCAGTCTGTGGAATTGTATGGCCATGATTTTAAGTCATATCTTTTCATTCCAAACTAGAAAAATACACATATTAATTTGCATTGAAGTCTTACCTTGTTTCCACCCCTTGTGAGTCGAGAAACCCACCGATAGTGTCAGACAGACTGGCATAGGCTGGAGCAAGAGAAGAGAAAAAGATGAGTCTTTAATTTTCTGGGAGGTACAGTACGCTAAAAATCAGCCCAGGACCCTTCCAGTGACCATTTCCCATCAGAAGTTTGGTAATTTTTGCTCCAAAATTGCAGGTCAATATACATTGGGATAGTGTGGTTTCAACACTCTATGTAGATAAATGACTAGAATATTGGCTTTGAGAAAATGGGTTTCCAAGCGCTAAAAACTTCACTGGATGCCTTTCCCACCTCTGTCCAGTCCAAACTCCAGAATGTTCTCACTAGTGATGAGTGCTGCCATGGAGACCAGCAGGAAGAAGAACCCAAACACCATCTGGTATCTTATCTTGTCTTGTCTTATCTTATCTTATCCAATATGGTGTTATATGGTATATGGTAAAAAACAGCACGTCAGCAGAACGTACTGCGCCTGCGCAGAACCCGGTATTTTCACGGTTTTCGGTGGATTTTTGGTCAACGTTGCATTAGAATTTTGCCTGTTGCAGAGGACATCTTTTCCGACATAACATTTGGAAAGTACAGACGGGATGTTAACCTTATACGTGCCAATACAACCTTATATGAGACGTTGTGCCAAAGTGCTATGAACAATACATTACGGGTTTCGCGCAGGTGCAGTACGTTCTGCCGACGTGCTGAAAAAACCCACCTCTATCCAGTCCAAACTCCAGTATGTTCTCACTAGTGATGAGTGCTGCCATGGAGACCAGCAGGAAGAAGAACCCAAACACCAGACAGATGGACCTCTCCCCGCTGTCGTCCCCGGTAAAGTACGCTGACGTCAGGCTTAACAGTAACGACCTGGCCACAGGTCAAGGTCTACTGGTGTTTTTTTTTTCACTTGGGCCATGATAGTGAGTCAGAGACAGTAATATTAGCATTTTATTTCAGAGCTTCAATTGGAACCAAGTTTTTTCAACTCTTGAGGACACAGTCTTAGCATATCTCATTACCTGGATGTCTATCCTTCACCAACGTAGTTTAAGATCACTTTCATTGCCACAAGCATGATATATGTAAGATACTGTAATTCCTGATTTTTTTCACTGTACCTTATAATGTTCACTGTTTTCACTGTCACTTCTGTACCATGAACTTATCATTACAGTTAACAAATAATTCCTGGACTTTCTATTTCCTGCACCTGTCACCACCATGAATATAAAGTTCCGTGAATATGTCCATTTTTCTTAGACTGTGATTGTGAACTTTGGCTACCGTGAACACAAAGTATATATAAGGATACAGGATGAAGACCACAACCACGAGACACCAGATGACACTGAGATTGACTTCTGCTCTGGGCTGTGCGAAGTAGTAGTACCCTTCTGTGAGCATGTAGATCACTAAAGCACAGGCCGAGAAGTCTATCAGCCACTGATACTCTACATAGAACTGGAGACCTGGGGATGGAGGGAAGAAATGAAGAGTTAAAGGATGAATGATGTACCAGACTGTAGTACCCTTCTGTCAGCATGTAGATCACTTGAGCACAGCCACTGATACTCTACATAGAACTGGAGACCTGGGGATGGAGGGAAGAAATGAAGAATTAAAGGATGAATGATGTACCAGACTGTAGTACCCTTCTGTGAGCATGTAGATCACTAAAGCACAGGCTGAGAAGTCTATCAGCCACTGATACTCTACATAGAACTGTAGACCTGGGGAAGGAGGGAAGAAATGAAAAGTTAAAGGATGAATGAAGGAATGATGTACCAGACTGTAGTACCCTTCTGTCAGCATGTAGATCACTAAAGCACAGGCCGAGAAGTCTATCAGCCACTGATACTCTACATAGAACTGTAGACCTGGGGAAGGAGGGAAGAAAAGAAGGATTAAAGAATGAATGGTGTACCAGACTGTAGTACCCTTCTGTGAGCATGTAGATCACTAGAGCACAGGCTGAGAAGTCTATCAGCCACTGATACTCTACATAGAACTGCAGACCTGGGGAAGGAAGGAAGAAATGAAGAATTAAAGGATGAATGAAGAAATGTACATCTACATTGCACAGTCTACATTGGACATTGTACCAGAAGGAAGGAAGGAAGACAGGAAGAAAGGAAGGGGAAAAAGGAAAGAAAAGGAATCTAAGGAATGAAGGAAGAAGGGAAAGAAAGTTGTGTATGTGACTCCCTACCTATGATGTCCACTCTCTCCACCTTGGCTGTCTCCAGTTCCAGGTTGATGTTACATGGCACGGTGAACTCCTTGTCTGTCTTTCCATCTGCTCTTCTGCAAATGGAAGGAAAAAGATGTGAGAAATTACTATCTTGAAAGTTCATCTGTGTTGGTAGTTACATGTTTAGAGTTAAAACTTTAGATCCAACACAAAAAATTCTCTCACCTAGAGCTTTCGACAAGTCACTCTGGTCTTCCTCAGTAGACTGACCCAGTGAGACTTGTCACATGGCTTCTTTGAAGCTAATAAGTGTCGACATCACACTTCAAAGAAGCCACGTGACAAGCTTCACTGGGTCAGTCTACTGACTCAGAGGAAGGCCAGGGTGACTGGTCGAAAGCTCTAGTTGTGAGAACTTAGTGCACATGTATTCACCTTTCATCCCTTTTCCTGCCCTTGCCCTTGGGTGCCTGTATCCCTGCCAGCTCTCTCAGGTGATCGTCTGTGGGGTGCAGGTACCGCACTAGTCTGGAGAAAAGGAAAATACATTTGCATTTCTTATGTTTACCGCCTTCTCCAAACAGTGACCTCTGACCTGACTAAATCAGGCAGTCCGTCACCATGGTAACTAGCTATAGTGTTGGGTTACATTGTGTTGCAGCTTCATAGCAGGAGGGGTTTAGACTCCTGTTACAATGGATGTGTTTGAATAAGAATTAAGAGGACCATACGCAAAGGTAAACATTATCATATGCATTTGCTTTCCAAATGTTACTTTTCTAGTTTTATATGTTGCTCGTCCTGACATGTTGTTGGTACCTTCTACTGAGGAGCCACCTGGCGGCTGAGAAGTGCGGCTGCAGCTTCTGGATGATGCTGGCCATCACCATGGAAACCACCAGCTGTGTGCCAATCACAGCCTGCAGATGAGAGGGGAACATACAAGTCACTTATCAAGTACCAGTTGTGTTTCTGTTAGTGTTACTACAAGAAATAGCCATGCCTTCAAGTACCAGAGTTATCAACCAAGGATTGAGGTGTTCAAGATTTCATTCTTTCCTAGAACTATCGCAGAGCGGAACTCGCTGTCACCAAGTACAGTAGGGGCATTTTCATCAGATAGCTTTAAACAATGTCTACAGTGATGTGAGTTTGTGAGTGAGTGAATGAGAGTATTTGCAAGATGATGCACATTGTTTTGTTCTATACAACAGGGAAACAGTGTCCTCATACCTTCAGCATCTCCAAAAATGGACATAGATTGCAGATACAATATTACTAGTACAAAGTTCTTTGATAGCAACCATAATACATGTAATGACCATAAAGCAAAATTCCGGGTTCACTTTCTTTTTAATAATATACATGCATGTTAATAGAATGCTTAATGTTATGTGTATATTCCATGCATATGCATATCAATATGTAGATGCCATATGCTGGTACAAATTAGGTACAAATTTGGATAGGTACAGTTTATCAATTGTAATAATTGCATGATTTTGCAACGTGACTTCTCTCTAATTTCCGCAATACAGTTACGTCAAATCATCGAGGTATAGACAGACAGATCGTCCATTGTGACTAACCCCACATGACAAAAGACTTCTGCATTTCATGCATACCAAAAACATGCCATTCACACATGGTGCCCCCCTCCCCAGTCATGTATCTTACACGATATGCATGTAAAAATCACGTCTAAAGACCCAAAACTCCTTTAAATGCATGTTCTAACACCAAACATCGCTTACCATAATGATAACCGTCCCAAGTTGTCAGCAAAATTGGAATAAGGCGTCAAAATTTGGCGCTAAATGAGCAAAAACATAGATGAAACTTGCAGCTGTCAGGCTAGCTGACCTTTTAAAGGCAACTTGACCTGCCGCAAACCGACTGACCGGGAAAGTACATTTCTCATTAAAAGGGGTCGAACAAATTTGCAAGACGTCATAGGCAAAAGCATCAAGAAGGTTGAAGCAAGGACATTTTTACAATGAAAATGTGAGAAAACTTTGCACTATTGACAAGACTATCCTGTCAATAACAGGAAACTTTGCACTATTGCCAGGATCACTCCACCCTCAGACCATACATAATGGACTGTCCCGAAACTTACAGGTCACATTTTGCGGCACGTACTGTTGTAAAACCAGACAACATGGCCGGCGCTCGACTTTCTGTTTCGGTGTCCAGATTTTTTAGAAGACCGGAGCTTTTTTTCTCTTCTCGTCGCTGCTGTAGTCTCGCTAGTCCGTGTGCGATCTCTTACAGTCAGTATGGAGAGCCTGCCAAAGTTCTAAGGTATTGTTCCTTTCTGTTTTCTGTATTTCTTGGCGAAATAACATGGGGGAGGGGGGCGCCCTGTCTGGATTTATTTGGTAACTCGTATCCACGTGCGTTCTCCCGAAGTACGAATACGATGTGTAACGTTACATATAGTTTAGCGCAATAGGATAGGAAGATCCTGTCAATAGTGCAGTTTTCTGTTATTGACAGGACCACCCTCTCATTCTCAAAAGTGCAATTTTCTTTCTAGCCTCCGTAGCACTGGCTTACAGAACTGGGGGTTTGGTGGTCTTCGGCTGTTTTCTGATTAGCCTCCGTAGCAGGCTTATAAAACTGGTGGTTTGGTGGTCTTCGGCCGTTTTCTGATTAGACCAGTTCTAAACGGGGTAATTCAACCAGGCCGGCTATGTTGTCTATATGCAATCAGAAAATAGCACATAAAAGCTCCCAACTGAAGACCCCCCAAAACCTCCAGTTTTTGGCATGCTATGGAGGCTAAAATCCCCCCCCCCACTCTTCCCTGCTGCAGGTTTCTGACAGATGTAGACCTGCCTGCTGTCCAGGATGACCTGGTGTCTGTCAGGATGATGGCTGCTCCCATCAACCCAGCTGACATCAACATGATACAAGGTCAGGCCTCAAAATTAACTTTCCTTCCTATTGTCCCAGCACTGTCCCAAAAATACATTTCAATTGTCCCAAAGTGAGGATGAACTGTCAACAGAGTAGACAAGAAATTCAGAGGGTGGCTGGAAAGAGTAAAAAAAAAACCGGCCAAATAGAGAGATGCCAATTGCCAGGGGAGTTACTCTGCGGCAAAATGCACTCTCTAGCGGACCAACTCCCTCGGCATGTTAGCTCTCTATTTGACCGATTTTTACTCTTTCCAGCCGCCTCCCGAAGCCTGGTAGAGGCTTGGGGTAATGAGGGTGTAATGGTAATGGTAATGGTGGTATGTTGCTTACCTGCAATGCTAGGAAAATCTGCTAGATGGCATTACTACACTGCTGACCAATGATTGTGTGTCTCATACAGGTGTATACCCGATCAAACCCCCCCTACCAGCAGTAGGGGGTAATGAGGGGGTAGGGGAGGTGATGGTAACAGTTGTTTGCTGACCTGTAATGCTAGGAAAACCTGCTAGGTGGCATTACTACACTGCTGACCAATGATTTTGTGTTCTCTACAGGGGTGTACCCCATCAAACCCCCCCTACCAGCTATAGGGGGTAACGAGGGTGTAGGGGAGGTGATGGTGGTATGTTGCTGACCTGCAATGCTAGGAAAACCTGCTAGATGGCATTACTACACTGCTGACCAATGATTGTGTGTTCTCTACAGGGGTGTACCCGATCAAACCCCCCCTACCAGCCGTGGGGGGGTAACGAGGGGGTATGGGAGGTGATGGTGGTCTCTTGCTTACCTGCAATGTTAGACAAACCTGCTAGGGGGCATTACTGTACTGTTGACCAATGATTTCGTCTTCTCTACAGGTGTTTACCCGATCAAACCCCCCCTACCAGCAGTGGGGGGTAACGAGGGGGTAGGGGAGGTGGTTTCTGTCGGCTCTCAAGTGTCAGACTTACAGCCAGGAGACTGGGTCATCCCAGCTGACTCTGGCTGGGGTAAGTTCAGTGTTTAACTTTTTGTTGTTTTTATTATGTAAATGTATAACTGTTTTATATGTTAGTAAAACGTTAAACTTTATTCCAACACACAATTGTACAGAGATCAAATTTTCAGTGACCACTGTCGCCTTCATCAGGATAATTAATGACCAATCACTTCACAACGTGATCTCATGAGAGTTTCGGTTACAGGAACATTGAATCAAGATCATGGGATTGAATCTCCAAAAGCATTTGGGCTCTTCGGTCAGGTTTGAAGATTTAAAGTGTTACTAGTGTTAGCCCTACCAGCTGAAAAAATGTCTGATAGTACAAATTTTTGCTCATTCCAGTATCAAAATGTCTTTCCATAGGTACGTGGAGAACTCACGCGGTCTGTCCAGCCTCGGAACTGCGTAAAATTCCCAACGACATTCCGTTGGAGGCAGCAGCGACCCTAGCGGTCAACCCCTGTACTGCATACAGGATGCTGACAGACTTCCAACACTTACAACCTGGTCAGTTTTCTTTGTCATCCAAAAATTGAAAATCACTTTTAATTACTGTAAGTCACAATTTTATTTGTGGTACTTTTAGTTTTATATCCACAGTTTTTGCTGCCACTTCTGAACATATCATTCTCAGATTCGGCTCTTGATTGAGCCAGTTTGCCTTGACTGCTGGATGATGTTTTTGTGCGACGTAAATTGCTCCATGTGCCACCCTCCCCACATGCATTCACCACAGAACTGAAGATGCTTACAGCATTTGACATTAAAACATCTCGACTTGGAAACCATTTATGTCTCAGTCATGTTGTGAGGCGACCCTCTTCAAGGAGACCACCTGTCCAAGGTGACCACTTTTCTTTGGTCCCCTGGGCGGTCGCCTTGGACAGGTTTGACTGTAATTATAAGAAACTCTTTTCTCTCAACAGGAGACACAATAGTACAGAATGGTGCTAACAGTGGAGTGGGCCAGGCTGTCATTCAGATAGCAGCTGCTAGGGGGCTAGTCACCATCAACGTGGTGAGGAACAGGCCTGACAGGTAACATATAAGCTTATCATGAAAGTTCATCTGTGTTGGTAGTTACATGTTTAGAGTTAAAACTTTAGATCCAACACAAAAAGATCTCTCACCTAGAGCTTTCGACCAGTCACTTTGGTCTCATTGGGTCAGTCTACTGAGGAATACCAGTGAGAGTGACTGGTCGAAAGCTCTAGGTGAAAGAACTTTTTGTGTTGGATCGTAAGTTTTAACTGTAAACAACATATAAGCTTTATTTTTTTCACACATTTTGTGGGTGATGGCAAGAAAGTGATTGTATGTGTTAATGAATTAATATGTATTAAGTATGTGTTACTTGTTTTCTATCATGCATGGTAAGTGTGTTGAATAATTTTTAATAGAACAAAATCTTAATTCATTTTTATTCAAAGACAGCTATGCAAAAGTTAACAGTATAAAACCTATCAAAACTTAGTTTCATTTCAATCATGCATGGTAAATGTGTGGAATAATGTAACATAGAACAAAATCTTTGTTCATTTTGATTCAACGACAGCTACACAAAAGTCAACAGTATAAAACCTTTTCAATTTTCAGGGCATCATACTTTGAACTTGAGATGTACCTCAAAGGTTTGGGAGGACATTACATCATCACCGAGGAGGGGCTGAGGAAACAGGACTTTAGGGACATTTTCAAGGTAAAAATAGACTTTAACTAGAGAAGTAACATTTGCAAAGCAAATGCATAATGTTTACCTTCAGACATGGTCTGCTCTAGCTGTTAATTCTTACTCAAACACATTCACATACATGTACTACTAGTATATGGCGACAGGAGCAGAACAGACCATGACATTATGTAACCCACCAACACCAGTCACCGTGGTGACAGACGTCAACAAATCATGTCATTGGTCAGGTCATATGTCACTGTTTGGAGAAGAAGAAGAAGAAACTGAGCAAAAACAATGTTTTCCATTAAGTAAACATAATTATATGTAATAAGTTTAATACTGTGGAATTTTATTTGCAGATGATTTCAAATAGCATTTCCATACTAATCTTCTTTCTTTTTTTTCTTTTTGCAGAGACTACCAAGGCCAAAGCTGGCATTAAACTGTGTTGGTGGGAAAAGTGCCACAGAAATTCTCAGACATCTAGAGTAAGTATATCTTTATCTTCAAGAGCTCTAATAGTTGTTGATGTTGATCTCTGTTGACAAAGATTCTGAATGGAATCTATACCTATCCAGTTGGGTCTCTATCCTGACATGTCTATTTTTATCTTGACTACTAGTATCATGAAAGTTCATCCGTGTTGGTAGTTACATGTTTAAAGTTAAAACTTTAGATCCAAATAACACAAAAAGTTCTCTCACCTAGAGCTTTCAACCAGTCACTCTGGTCTTCCTCAGTAGACTGACCCAGTGCGACTTGTCACATGGCTTCTTTGAAGTGTGACATCAACACTGGGTCAGTCTACTGAGGAAGACCAGACTGACTGGTCGAAAGCTCTAGGTGAGAGAACTTTTTGTGTTGGATCTAAAGTTTTAACTCTAAACATGTATCCTGACTACTTTTTGTAAATGTAAATTTTCTCTTTCTCCCTTACAGAACCGGAGGGACCATGGTTACCTACGGTGGAATGTCTCGTCAACCTGTCACTGTTCCTACTGTAAGTAAAGTTTGGACAAGTGAAATATCCTCTTTTTCAAAAATCTACCACAAATTTAAGTCAAACATCTGATGTTTTTGACTTCCCTCTGTTATTTTTCTTTCCAGGGTTCTCTGATTTTCCAGGATATTAAAGTTGTGGGGTACTGGATGACTCAATGGAACAAGAGACAAAGAGACTGTAAGTTTTGTTTCGTTCTTGAGAAAAGTCACAGGGAATTAATTCTTTTTAGGATTTAGAATGTTTCTAAGTGCCCTTCCCAAGGACAAAACATTCAGCCTGTCAGGGATTTGAACCCAGAACCTTCAGATCCTGAGTCTAACTACAAGACCAGCCTGGCACCTTTTAATTATGTTTACCGAAGGAAAACATATTGTTTTTGCTCAGTTTCTTCTTCTCCAGTGACCTCTGACCTGACCAATGACATGATTTCTTGATGTCTGTCACTATGGTAACTGGTGTTGCATTACATAATGTTGCAATTTGATGGTCTGCTCTGTTCCTGTCAACATATATTACTGTAGTACATGTACATGTATGTGAATGTGTTTGAGTAAGAATTAACAGAGCAGACCATGTCCGAAGGTAAACATTATGCATTTGCTTTGCAAATGTTACTTCAATCTCTACTTTCCATTGTTTCCACCCAGCCCAAGAGAGTGCTGCCATGTTGTCTACTCTGTGTGACTACATCAGACAAGGCAAGCTCCAGGCTCCATCTAACGTACAAGTCCCCATCTCTGACTACATGGCTGCTATCAGCAATACTAGGGACGGATTCACAACCAAGAAACGGATACTTCATATGAGCAGTTGATAGATAATGTACAATATTTAGGCCACACCAGTTTAATTTGTTGGTTCACAGATTTGCCGGCTTCATTTTTTTTTACTTGAAAAAACATTTCAGCTTCTGAGTCAAATCCATAATGCTCATATTTTGGCCCCTACAGTTGAAGGAAGTCCCTTCTCTTCAGAGCTGTTACAGTTTTACAGTATTTATCTTTTATTTTCTTTCGCCCTGTAGCTTCATATTTTTCTGAGGAAATCCGAGAACCAACAAATTAAAGTGGTGTTGCTTTAGCACTTCAATTCTTTTCAAACTTTGGAAATCATATTCTCTACCGATTTTGTTACAAGGTATATACTGTGTAGATATTTTAGAATGATTAAATATTTTGGTATCCTCTGTTGCTCCTACATAATTACATACACAGTGAGCACTAAAGATTCAAGAATGACACTGAAACAGTTTTAGCATAGATGCAGTGTATTGTACACTTTGTGACATGGTTATCGTTACATGTACATGTAGAAACATGAAGAATGAGAAAAAAAACACATTTACAATATTTGTAGTGCTTAAAAAATTCATTGCAACTGTTAATACATGCAGATTGATGTATACTAGCCTATTTCTCCTGCAAGCTGTATTGAAAGACAGTCAATTCTTTACCTGGTTATTTTCAATATAGCAAAGTCAGTCATTCTGGTAAGTGTTGCACATTATAAAGACGCGTACATCTAGTAAGCATTTATTGTACATTTCTGGTTATGTCTTAGAAAAAGACAGTATTCAGTAATAAAAAATAAACTCCAGTACCTTATCATACCATATTTGGGTTGGTGACGGACCAGCCCATTCAATATAAGGGGTGTTTCGATGCTCCGAATATACCACTCAACGATTGATATTACAATGATTCCTTCCTAGGTATATGACTCCGTATTCAAACATGCTCCTTTACCATAATCTTTCTCCCTCTTTTTTTTTGTCTACAAATTTCAGCGAGTGGAAAAAGTATGGTAGCTTTGTAATGCATGGTAGTTTGGCTCCCAAGTCAAAACCTTGACAATGTATTTAACGACAGTGTTAAATATTTCCCTCTAATCTCAAGTTAGGTAAAGAAAGGCCAAAACAACTGTATTTTTAGATTCTCTGATTTAAAGAAAATAATGCTTAGTGGAAGATAAACAGTAAAACAGACTACAAGTTGGTATACAAAGTTTCAGTAGCACATCAGCAGAACGTACTGCACCTTTGCAAAAATCCTGATTTTTCAGTTTCGTTCAATGTTTGGTCAGTGTTGAATCTGTTCAGAATTTTGCCCATTGCAGAATGCTGATATCTTTTCTGACACAATTGAAAACTATATACAAGATGTCATCCGTAAATATGGGTATACTACCTTAAAAAAACATTCTGCCCAAGTGGTATACACAATACATAAGTTTCGCGCAGAAGCAGTATGTTCTGCCGACATACTGAATATAGATTCAAGATTTCTTTTCAGACCTCTCTTGTAATCTTGCCTTCTTCCTTGTCTACCTTAAAATATCCAAAGAAGCAAGAAAATAATTGGGGTGACCTCAGCAATGTACATCTCTATAACACACTGCAATGTGAAAAACATGAAGTATAATGCGAATACAATTCACATGGCTAAGTGACTTGAATATTGAAGCAAATTTGAAACTATTGTCAGTCTAAAAGGTTGTGCTACTAACAGTAACTACACAATGACTGACAACCTTCTAACCAGTAGGCAATATTTAAAAAATAGTTTACATTCAATTTTTTTCATGACTGCAGGGGCCACACCAACTAAATTTCTTGGTTCTGTTATTTAAAAAATCATGCTTAATTGGAAAATATATCAAGGTGAAAATAGTCTATACAATTCACAGGGAGTGAATATAGCAAAATTCAAGTTTTTCCTCAGCCCTCTCTTCTTGTCTCTTTGCTTCAATTCTATTTTAAAAAGTCTTGAGAACCAAAATAATGAATTGAAGTGGCCTTAACATGTTTTTATCTGTTCATTCACCAACTAAGCAGAGACTATAACAATATATGAGATACCCCAATCCTTAACATTACCAACTAGTATATCAAATATGAATGGCACAATTTGCATGACTATTAAGAGGGTAAGAATGCCAAAATATGTTGTAAAATGGCTGTTATCCAACTCTGAATGAACCGCTATCTTTTCAAACATAAACCTTTTTTCCCAACTGTACTCCTACATGGTACCACTTAAAATGAAACACTTCCCTAGCATTTTGTTTACATTCAACATTCACTTGAAAAGATATCTTTGGTTAGGATGATGATGTCCAATGGCACAAGATGACAGGAATTTTGACAACTATTTTGTTGTTATTGTAGTTTACATAATTGTCCATGATAAACAATTCAAATCTTCCACCGTGACTCTAAGTTAACGCCACAAATTTGAGTTCTATAAGCAGTTTTTTACCTCCGTAGCAGGCTTCTAGAACTGGGGGTTTGCTGGTCTTTGGCTGTTTTCTGATTACCGGTAGCCCAGTTCATTCAGCCGGCTATGTTGTCTATATGCAATCAGAAAATAGCACATAAAAGCTCCTGAAGACCCCCCAGTTTTCCGCATGCTATGGAGGCTAAGCAATAAGCCAGAAAAGTGAATTTCAAAACAATCAATGACAACCCTCTATCAACAACCAATGGAAGCCTAGCATCCTTTGTAGTTTATGCCCAACACACATTTTTCCCGTTGCAACATTGACAAGACTTATACGTAGTTTGCACATTCATTTAAAGTGACACTCGAGCACTTTGAAACACTGGTCACTTGAAATCTGGCATGACACTGAAAATTTGATAGAACAACTTAAACTTTTAGTCATGTATTTCAAGTTGACTAGCTGAAAAAAATACTAGAATAAGGAGAATATTTTGCCAGACTGGGGAATTTGGCAGATTACCAAAGATTTCATTTGAATTACTGTGGCTGATTTTTCACCTTATTTTTGCAAAAGAAATTGTGGGATGGGGAAAATCTAGTGTCAACTTCTGCAGAAATATTTGACAAAAAGTTTACTGAATTTTTCAAACTTCCAATGTTTTTCTATTTAGCTTAATTCGAAGTGTCTGGTGTTTCACACACATTACAGCTTGTTTTCCTACCATGACTCCACACAGAACAAAATACAAAAATATCCCTCTGTTGTTAGAAGCGGGAAATTATTTTTTTCTCTTTCGTACCTCGCGATACATGTACTTAATAACAACAATAAATAAGCGTTTTTCTCCAACTATTCAAAATTTACCCCCAAAAACTGCAAAAAAAATGTTAAAAGTCTTTCTGTCTTTCCTAGTGGCAAGAAATTTCTTGCTTTTAAGGTGTTTTTTCTTCTTCATTCCTTCAACCATGTGGCACTGAATCTCATTGAAAAATGTATGAATTTTACACTGTGGCTTCTAAAGATAGTTCACAATTATTTTATATCCCAACCGTAAGTCTATGTTTAAGATATACCCTTTTATAAATGTGGCAATTCTAAAAGACTGCAGAATTTTTCTGGGGCACTATTAAAAGAAATGTAGCAAAAGCCCTATATATCTGTTGCAAACCATTTTGTACTGAGACTAGATCCTTATGTGCAAGTCATGTGCATAAAAATATGTCATGTCCTGCGAAATGTTAACATATGCAGTCGTATACTTACACAGGTTACATGTATTGTACTAAGATATTATAACATACAAGAATTCTATATACCTTCTATAGAAAAACCAAAATAGGTTGGAGTAAGTAATAATACATTGTCAGAATTCATTTCTCCCCACCTGCGAGCCAATAAGAACCCTGCTTTCAGACATTCGCATATACCCTCCAGAATACATTTATGTAAGCAAAGCTTTGATTGGTGATGGAGCCTTACTGCAAAGAAGCTGTTCAGCAATTCTTACAATTTATGCTTTTGTCCCTTTGCTGTATAATCTGTGTGAAAACACATCATCTAAGAGACAAGAACTAACACTGATCACTTCAAATTTGAAAAGTTACTTTCAAAACTTTAAAAGTACTACTTTGAAAGCCCAAAAATGTTTCTGGATATGTAGTCAAGGTTCACTTCAATTGAAAGCACATACATTTCCCTATATTAATATTATTTTCATTACTGGCCACTATACATGGTCTTGGAGATTCACTTAAAAAGTGGTGGAAGTTTTTTTGATTTTCTGGTTTCTTTGCAAATTTAAAGTGAAAGTATTAGTCTTGAATTTCGTCCTTAAATATTGTAAGATTTTCCTTCCCCAGTTTTGTTTGAAGAATCGACAGTTAACCGTCACCGTTAGGCCACACCAATTTAAATTGTTGGTTCTCGGATTCGCCTCATTTTTTTCTGATCTGCCCCCCAAAAAAAATTCTGGTTCTGAATCAACTCAAAAATGCTCATATTTTGCCCCCAACAGTTAGGAAAGTTCTTTTCTTCCTAGTTGTTACAGTTTTTCCATCTATCAATGCAGTGGTTTGATTAAAAGTTCAAAATTCATTGTTTAAATATCAACCCAGCTTTTTATGTTAACTTCATGGCTCCTATCATGGCATTTGGGGCTATAACAGGATGCCTAGACCTGTTTTTATTTTATTTTTTCGCCCTGTCGCTTCATCTTTTTTCTTAAAAAAATCTTAGAACCAACAAATTTAATTGGCGTGGCCTTACTCTCCAAGCACCAATCAATGCTCTCGGCTTATGGCTGTACAAAGCGCGCGTACGTACGCGGCGCGGCATTACGACATACTCGAACACGGTACGCGGGGCGAGCCCATCTGCGTCAAAACCTTATCCAGCCACTGCAGGGGGCCGTTCAGGTGGAGTTCGATCCAACATGGCGTGGAGGTGACCGTTTGACGGCGGTACTCCGCACCCCAGCCTTTCACAAAGCTCATGCGGATGGTGCACATGCGAGTGAGCTGGTACACCGCCTCGAAACCTTGGCTCACCGACTGGGACAGGAGCTGGGCAAACTCCTGATTGTTGAATATCTTCAGGTTACAACCTAGGAACAAGAGAAAAATGATTTTCTTTTTTTCGAACTGCAGTTACTACATGTATAGGAACAAGGGATACAAGAGTGAGACCCCTAGCAACATATATTGGAACTAAACAGAAGCTGGAGAAACTCTTGGTTGTTAATATCTTCAGGTTACAACCTAGGTAGAAACAAGAGAAAAATGAAACTCCATGTTTTGGAACTGCAGTTACTACATGTAGGAACAAGGGATAGAAAAGTGAGGCCCCTAGCAACATGTGCTGGAACTGCAGTTACTAAAGAGAAGCTGGGCAAACTCCTAGTTGTTGAATATCTTCAGGTTACAACCTAGAACAAGAGAAAAATGATACTCTTTGTTTTGGAACTGCAGTTACTACACCTAGGAACAAGGGATAGAAAAGTGAGAAACCTAGCAACATGTGCTGGAACTGCAGTTGTTAAATGAAAGAGCAAAGCTGGTGAATTATTTTGGCTGTTGAAAAAGTTCAAAACTTGAAAAAAATAAAGAAAAACGCTGTATGAATAGTTGATCTCTAAGACTTGTAAATCAACACAACTTTTTTTTTACGTCTTCAGCGATACAGACTGAAAGAACAAAAGAAATTCTCTCCAAGCAGAGGAAGGAAGGAGGAGGAGAGAAAAATGTGGGTACTACTAGGGAAACAAAGAATCTTACAAAGGGCACCAAAAAAAATCAATCCAACCTCTGCTTATGAAGCAAGTTTGAACTGTTATTTCCAACACAAGAAATTGGATTTTGAAATTATACTTGCTTCATAATAACTTCTACAAACATTGATGACTATTCTGGTTGGAGAGTACAGCAGAAGACCACTAGTCTTGCTATATAGTTTACCTGGTGGTATTTTGCAGACAGTTGCAGGATGCCAGCCGTACCGCTGGTTACAGTTGGGGCTCTGTACAAACACACTGCTCTCACTCAGACACTCCGCAAAAACCTCGCCTCCGATGTAGTACAGACGAACACCTTTACCTGTGGGCAGAGGTAAGAACATCAGAAATGGTTCAATCTGAAGGTTTAACTAGGGCCTAGGAAAAATATTATATTTCCTGTTTCAGACCTGAAAAAAATAGGGTTGGTAGGTAGGGTTTAGCTTCTTTTTTTTAATTAGACCTTGGCAATAAGTGATACAACTTATACAATACAGTTTAACAAAGTAAAACTTGCTTGACATCACATATTTTCAATGTCAATGTTTCATCACTCAGGTGTCAGATCATGGAGCTAGAAAAGGTCGGTCAGCTTGAAAAACGCAGCCTTTTGTGTTGACTTGGCATGGCACCTATCAAAGCATTTGGGGCTATAATTATAGGATACCTCAGCCTGTGGGGTTTTTTTTGCCCTGTCGCTTCATATTTTTTCTGAAAAATCTGAGAACCAACAAATTAAATTGGTGTGGTCTCAGAATAAAAAAACAAGTAAACCCTGACCTATATGTCTCCGGGTCTGTTCTATGACGTGGTTCCTGTTGACGTTGGACAGCAGGCCTAGACAGAACCTCTCCGAGTTGGACGGGTCGGTGAAGCCGTCCACCGTCAGCGAGGGCTGCGAAGCGTGGAACGTCTCCCCGACTCTCGTGTTCATCTCGTAGTATGCGATTGAACACCAGAACGTCGGCTCTGTGTACGTAACTGGCTGTAAGTCTGGAAAAAAAGAAGAAAACTAGTTTTTTTAACTTGTTGTCATCTTGAAAGGTTTCTTGAACTTGTTGTGATAGTGTAGTTGTAGTGAAATGTTTTAAATCCTTTCAATCGAGAACCTTATGTGTTAAGGTAAACCCACTTTTAAACTATCTACTCTGTTGAACATGTAGTTATGTTTACCTTCACATAAGGTCTGCTCTCTTTATTCTTACTCAAACACCTTCATGTATACATGTATGGTCAGACAGGAGTCTAAATCCCTCCTGCTATAAAATTGCAACATGATGTGAAAACCAACACTGGTTACCATGGTGACAGATGTCTGGTTCAGGTCAACGACCTTATTTGTTTGGAGAAAAAGAAGAAGAAACAGAGCTAGTTCTTTTGACACAAGGAAGTACGTAACCAGTTGCTGTTTGTTACCAATACAAACTATCACAGCCACAAACATTGAACACACACGGTTAAATACAACTAAATACATTTTAGTGCGACGTACAGAGGACAACCACTTTTAGACAACAGTCAGAGAGGCTTGAAAAGGATACTAGACAACAGAAAACACAAACCAAAGGAGTAGGAAAAACATTGAAAAAAAACATAATTAAAAAAATATTATATAATTTTCTTACATTGACAACAGTTTTGAAAACAAAGCAAGAAATTGTACAAAAATCGTACCATTTTTTTCTGAATCTTTGTCCACTTTTTGAAAAGAATTTGTACAATCAATGCTAACATGACGTACATGAACTTGTGGAGAAATCAACAAGGGTTTGGAAGGATGTCTTAGGGGGAAGAACGAAAGAAAAGTCTTGAGAAAAGAGCAGCAAGTGGGCATGAGGCCTCACCTTGCCAAGGAGTCTGTTTAGGACTGGAAGACGTCTCAGAACTGGAGTCTTTAAAATCATCCCGGGATAGAGAGAAAGAGAGAGAAGGAGGAGAGGAGAGCAGAAGAAATTAGTAGTACTGGGATCAGGAATGACGTACAGGGACTTTTTCACAAATAAGACTGTACAGAAATGACTTCTTCTGGTTAGAAACTACAAGGAACATGACATGTGCTGTGTGTGACTTGGTGCAGGAAAACAACAGAACTAGAAGACCCTGGTTGTGGTAAGTGAGAAGAAATTAATCTATATTGTCCTTTTCAAATATTTCATTTGGCTCACGGTCTAAAACATTGCTGCTAGACTGCTAATAATGTACTGACTGTACAGGACATGGAGTTAAGATTTGGACATTTCAACTATGTACAAGTTGTATCTATAATCACTGAGTCTTCAGTTTACATGCATACACAAACACACATGTAGTTACAGTGTATGACAGTGTATGATATCCCTACCTTGGCTGGGTATAGGGTTAGGACTGGGAGACATCTCTGAGCCTGAGTCAGTGACCATGCTGTTGTGTACAGTGTTACAGGTATATAGTGTATAACAATAACTATATAAGTACCTTGGCTGGGTATAGGGTTAGGACTGGGAGACATCTCTAAACCTGAGTCAGTGACCATGCTGTTGTGCTGGGACTGGTCGTTCTACACAGTAAGTGTTGTACAGTGTTATTAAGTGTTAACTGTATCCGTACCTTGACTGGGTATAGGGTTAGGACTGGGAGACATCTCCGAGCCTGAGTCAGTGACCATGCTGTTGTGCTGGGACTGGTCGTTCTACACAGTAAGTGTTGTGCAGTGTTATTAAGTGTTAACTGTATCCGTACCTTGGCTGGGTATAGGGTTAGGACTAGGAGACATCTCCGAGCCTGAGTCAGTGACCATGCTGTTGTGCTGGGACTGGTCGTTCTACACAGTAAGTGTTGTGCAGTGTTATTAAGTGTTAACTGTATCCGTACCTTGGCTGGGTATAGGGTTAGGACTGGGAGACATCTCCGAGCCTGAGTCAGTGACCATGCTGTTGTGCTGGGACTGGTCGTTTGTGTCTCCATCCTCACTCATGTAGCCAGGCGGAGGGGTCTCTGAAATACAACCAAACAAACAATTCAAAAATAAGAAAATCATCAGTTTGGAACTATCTAAAACTGGAATGGTAGTAGTAGTAGTAGTAGTAGTAGTAGCAGCAGCACTAGTATTAGAAGTTGAAGTGGAGTCAGTAGCACTAGTAGTAGAAGTAGTAGCAGTAGTAATAGTAATAGCAGTAGTAATAGTAACACTAGTAGTAGAAGTAGTAGTGGAGTAGTAATAGAAGTAGTACTAGAAGGGGTTTCCGACACAACAGTTGGCTAAACATATATTCACTGCAGAACCAAGGAAAGTTCCTAGGAGGCCCATGTACCTAATCTCAATATACCACAATACCATCACAATATCACAATGCGTAGCTCAGTCAACTAAAACAAAGAGGTTAGAAACACTGACACAATAATAGTCCAGAATCACCGGTGGAAAAAGAGAAAATAAATGTTGGCCCAGCGATCTGACAGGCCTTTTTATCCACTGACAGTGTCACGTGTATATACATAATATGACTTATAGTTCATGTTTATTTGTATAACGTGGACTACGTGGGCAAATGGTAATCAAAACATTCAACATCACAATTTAGATATCACACAGCAATGCTTAAAATAAACTGGAGTGCAAAATTAGAAAGTCACATCATATCATTTTGTATCGCTTAACAATGAAACAAGAAAAAAGGTTTGAACAACAACAAAAAATGTTCACCCTATTAAGGTATATTATGTGAGACTTGAAGTCATAACCAAAAATAGCAGTAAGTACTATATATTATTATAAAAGTTTTCAAATGATACCTTCCTGTTTGTTGATGTAATGTAGGCCCACGTGCCAGTTTTTTTGTGTGTGTAGAAATACCAAATACAACAAGAATATAACAATGGATACAAACTGTGGTGATTCATGATGCTTAAATTTCAAGTAACTAAAGTGTAATGTAGCTATGCAACAACTATGCTTTTCAGCCAAGCGCAAAACAATCCAGCATGTTCAACTAAAGTAAATGTATATTTGTAACATCTATTCTTCAGTATTTCACTCAAAACAGCGTACCTAAATGTAGCAATATGGAGTAACTGAGATTTCTAACACAAAAAAAATGTAACTACTTTGTGTACATATTGCATAATCCAAACCAAAAGTTTAAAAATTTATAGACCTTCACATAATTATAATCTGCTTTAAAATGTTACTGTAATAAGAGAATCTAGCAAAAGGAATCGGCTACCTTTACGTAACAGCCTTGGGATAAAAATAACAGTTTTCGGACAGACAAATTTGCAATCAAATCCTACAACGTATGTAGGTCTTCAGACTAATCTTTTACTCTTAGTATTACACCATTCCAACTGGCTTTTTAATCACATATTTTAATCTAAAAATGACAATTATTACGAGTAATTATCAATTACAAAATTGTTAATAATATCTTTGAGATGCAATTTACCTATGTATCTTAAAAAATGGTGTCCCCTATATAATAGTAATATGTCAAAAAGCAGTTACTCAAGCAACTGGATATGATTTTGCAAACAGTCAGTTGAGTAACTGCTTTTTGGCGTATCGTATTACCTGGATGTCTAACCTTCATCCACTATATAATGTTTTATTTGTTCCTAAATAATTTTACAGGGTACGCTGCCTTACCTAGAGTGCATTGCCATGGTTGGCTTAGTAATACGACCAGCTACATTTACACTTACCAGCTGTGTCAACCAAAGCTAGATTTCTGAGAAATACAGGCACACAGTGTTAGAAATACCCAACCACAGTCTGTATTTTGCATTTTGAAACAGTTTTAATACTGCAGTAGAAAAATTAGGCAACTTGCAATTTTAGCATGAAAGTTCATCTCGAAAATTTCGGGTGAGTTGATTTCTATTTTGTCGATGAGTTGGAGAACAGTTTAATTTTCTTCAACCTGCAATTTTAAAGAGTAAAAAAATCAGGCTTGGGGTCCAATGGTGTCAGCATAATATTGTTGAAGAGATGTGTTTACTACTGACTGTAAAATATACTGGTGATATTGTGTTTATTTTTCAAATTGCATGCAAATGTTTACCAAGTGAACATGTAATTTTGTATACGCCACGGGTTCAAGTACGGACGTACACGTGTGTATTGTGTTATACAACAAGACATTTTGCACATTTTCATGCCATTCCTAATTTCAATCTTATGTCATAAATATACATTACTCAAGTATCATGTTTTTGTCAACATGCTCCAATAATGAATAATCATAACAATAAAATTAGTCTGGACATGTAAAATAACAAGTCGAGTTTTGACAAGACTACTTTATTTTGTTAGCCTCCTTTTATTACCGAGCAATTAATTTTTGATTCATAATATACTGGGCATGTTTTCTATCAGCTTTCCAAACCGAAAGTTGTTCATTATTTTTTGTTGCAATGTTCACAGCATTTCAGGTAAAAATGCGATGTTGTTGACAGAAAAACATAGCTTGTTTTGGATTGAAGGTTGGTTCAAGATATTCAGGTAGCAAAAAATAAAGCTTGTTTTGGGGCTGTTTCAAACACTTCTAGTATGAACTGATGAGAAAAATATGCCAAGAAATGGCGGATAGATTTCCTCATCCAGAATTTTTTCGTTTTGCCATCCTAAAGTTACATTGGATGCCAGGCTTATATTTTCTCTTATAATTGTGGGAGCGACAAAAAATATCTGAAAGAACAGTGCTACTTCTAAAAGCATGTCAAACTGTTGGTTACGTCACACAGGTTATTCTTGTGCATCAGCGCGCACGTGCCAACTCGTACTCCCATTTCTCAGAAACATGAAATCAAGTCGAGTACACATTCTAACCTTTGCAAAGGATTACAACACGGCATTCCTTCTTTCAAGTTCTTACCATTGTCTAAAAGTAACGTTAGGAAAGCTCACATTTCAGAAATGACGCAATAGCTTCTAGTTAGAACTATTAGAAAGGTCTATTCATTTTAGTTCATTACTACCACTTAATGTTCTGCAGTTTCAGTACTTGTGTTACCTACATTTTTATTATATTTTGCAGAACATAAGGACAAAGGCTTCCTGCGCACAGTTTCTGTTCCTGTAAAATGGTTAATAAACATTTTTCGCTATCAATAAACATGTTTGGTCCCTTACACAAAATTGAGGCGTGTGATCAGTTGGTTGCATGTTTATATACATGTAATTACAAACGCGTGCTGGTTGGGCAAATCAAACATACCGAAAGCCCGGCCCACACTCAAACAGTCAGAGAATTTAATTCTCCGTCTGGAGCGTATCGACAATAAGGGGCACAGACGGCGTAGCTTGATTTGTGTCCAGCCATTTTTCTTTGTTTTACAGACAAATAAACTGGACACAAGGCGAGGGATAGAATTGTTACCTCCTAGATTGGACAACCACGCAGACAAAATTAAGACTAATATAACACAGCAAAAATCACACACTAAGATTATATAACTAACACCAAATACTTTTCATCAAATTCCTTAATAAACAATAACAATTTTTACATACGAACAGCATTTTTTATTTAAAAGAAATAGTTCTGATAGTTTATTTTTCAGGTATTATAGATTTCTATTGATTAAACTAGAATGTTTTTGAAATACATAATGTCTGTTATAATATTTTTTCAGAATCTTGTCTCAAAAAGAAAAAAAAAAGAAAATTTCATTCACCTTTAGTGTTGGTATTGCTTTTTTTGTATCAATAGAATTGTAGTAAAGTAGTAATATACAAATGTACCCTTTTAGTTTCTGTATTTGAATAAAATAGCTTTAGTACAATAACAATAACAGCAAACAAAAATATCTTAAGTACCCTTTTCAATACTCCCAACTATCTTTGCTACACATCTATAATACTTGTAAACTGCCACTAGGTCTTTCCTTAAACAATGGAATTATGTTACAATTTTAAGACCAATTTTTACCCATTTTCAATTCTAGGTCATTTTGCTTAGACTTATAAAAATTTGTTCATTTTAGGCCAAGTTTTATCCTCTAAAGACTTCTAGCACCTGATTACTTTACAAATTTATGAGAGAAAGTCAGTGCAAGTTAGCATTTTTGCCCCGTCCCTTCTAAAACTAGAGTACAAAACCAAAAGCGACATACCAAAGATTGTAGACTTCTCTAAGTAGGCCCTGTATGGTTCCATTTCTAAGAAAAAGTGAACAACCTCAAGGTGGACTCCTGCCTTGTGCAACAGGTGGGACGATTCTCTGGCTCCCATTGGCTAACACACCTGTCAATCATTCCCCAACCTTGTTTCTGATTGGTTGATTCCTCTGTGACAAGTCACATGACGTGCTTGGAGGCTTCTTATTCGCCGTAGCCAGTTTCTATCTCATAACTTTTCATAAGCCTTTAGCAGAGGAATAAAAGTACTAGTATCTACCAGAAAAATCTGGTTTATGTTCAATTGTGTAACAGCTCTACTTTTTTTTTTACCTTCTCAACTTGATACTGAATAAAATCACTACATTATCTACCCTTTGACTTATTTCAAGCATTTCAAATATACAAATTCTTGAGAAATCTACCAATATATTTCTTGTAATCAAGAGGAGGATGTGTAATTAATTAATTGTAGGTTCTAAAGCAAGCTCAGAAAATTATCCACCTGAGCCCAACTGTCCCTGTCCAACTGATCAAAATTATCCTGACCTAAATTACCGACATCAGAATACTTTTCAGCCATGAAAAAAAAAGGATCGAGCTTCAAAGTTTTTGCTCTTGCATCTGATTTTATTTGTGTTATGCCTAAAGTCGGTTTACCGGTTATACGAAGACTAGGGGTCCTTCCTGGTGTGAGTGGTTCAAACCTTACAATCCGGTCTTACGCAGCTTGTACTTACATGTACAAAACTGGTGTGTTATGCCTAAAGTCGGTTTACCGGTTATACGAAGACTAGGGGTCCTTCCTGGTGTGAGTGGTTCAAACCTTACAGTCCGGTCTTACACAGCTTGTACTTACATGTACAAAACTGGTGTGTTACGAATAAAGGCGGTTTAACGGTTACGCGAAACAAACAAACCCCTGCTTCTCCTATTGGGCCAGTTAGTCCTCACTACTTGTGAGAAATTGGGCTGGTCTCAATCATGATGTTTCTGACTCAGGGAGAAGAGTTGCTGTTACAGTTCTACTCGGTAACCCGTAACCCAGGTGAGTGGTAATACCATTCAGGTGGTAATGCCATTCATGTCATACCATTCAGGTGGTTAACCAACCTTGAAGTGGCCTACGGCCGTGTTACGTGGCGACCACTAATTAAAACAAAAAAATACAAAAAAACAAACAAACAAACAAACCTGGTAGTGAGTAGTTCTGTGTAGGGACGTCCTGTGGGTAGCTGGTGTTCTCAGGTACAGAGTTCAGATAGTCGTCCAGCGGGGGGAGTTCTGTGGGCATCTCCCCAGGCGGATTCCTCGGTACCAGCACTGGCGGCAGCGCTACAAACAAACAAACAAACAAACAAACATCCACGCATTACAAACCAAACACTTCTTCTGTTCACACTCCAAAACGCATGGTATCAAAGTAACGAGAAAGGGGTGTAAGGAATTTTTACGTTGCGGTTTTAATTTAATGCTACCGTTTAGATTGTCTCAATGTGGTGTTAAGAAAAGGGCCAGGTTAATATAGACTTGTAAGCGAAAGATACACCGTAATTCTATAAGTCCTTATTAAGTTCTCTAAGCCGAAAATTTGGTATTTGACTAAACGTTTAATTTCCTACGGAGTAATTCTAGGATACTACCAGATTTGTACACCGTGATTATAATTAAGCTATCGGGTTACACATATCCCATCTACACCCCTCTCAGGTTACAATGACACATGCATGTTGTGAGAGGGTTTAAAAGGGTTTTTCCTGTACCACCAGGTAAGGCCCTACGGTTTCGAGAGGACCACCTTAGCTTAAGAAAAGGCAAGAGATTTTAAGTACACCTGGCGTCGGATAGCTTCCATCAAGGGCTAGTTCTGCCAGGAGGTCTCCCAGGGGGTTTCGGGGCACCAGAACTGGAGGTAATGCTGGAAAAAAGGTACACGGTGTCAGGAACACACCTTACTGGAAAACCACTTCACACCCTTATCTGTAAAACCTGTAAGGTGCTCTTTTTTCCTTTTTTGCAGTCTTTTTTTTCTTACGAGTTGCCTAGTGGCATTATAGACCTTGCTCTTTTAAAGTACAATGGACAGTTGACCGCAGCTTATTGTCCCATCCTAAGGACCACAAAACTGTCTAGCAGCGTGCATGTGAGCGACAACAGCCGGGATCGAACCCCTATCCTCTTGGTCCAAAGGCAGGGTCACTAACCACTGGACTATGCATGACATTACATACTACAATATTTTTGGAGGGGGATCCCTAAAATTTGTCAGGAAAAAAAAACAAATACTAGCAATTCAAGATCACTGTATTATGATCCCTTAAAACACAAGTAACATATACAAGACAGCAATGTCTTCTCAGCCATAAGAATTACACATAGATCTTTGAGTTGACAGAGGCAAAGTAAAACGGGATTTAAATACATCATAAAAACAAATGTGCTGTGAAGCTCTTTTTTCACCTGTCTAACTCATGATTTTGGGAAAGAACTCCTTTTCTAAACAATGGAATAAACCCAGATACAAAGAAACCTGAATACAAGAGTTCCACGATCTCATACCTTCGCCAAATGGTGTTAACTCTTGCGGGTGACAAATTATACAATTTTAATCATTTATTTTGTAAATAAGAGCCTCATTTGCATGGATTATATCAGTTGATCATATTCTCCATCCAATGACAGCCTTATCATAACAAAAAGGCTATTATAGCACTTCCTCATAAATTATGCAAATGAGGTCATGATTTGAATAAATTATGTTTATTGATCTTCACTTCACTTTACTTAACTTCCAAATGTGGCAAGTATGAAATTGGGTGCAGCAGTGACAACTATGGAATTATAAGAATTTACCATTAATTATGCAAATTAGGTTCTCATTTACATAATCTATATCCTCAGATGTTTTTCTCGTTCTCAAGTAGATGTCACAAGTGTTTAATAGTTCTATTATCGAACAAAGCAGATTTATAGAATTTCCTCATTAATTATGCAAATTAGCTCCTGATTTGCATAATTGCCATCTGATTATGTCAAGCATCACTTCAACTACATACATGCCAAAAATCATGACAATACGTCAACCGGATCTTGAGTTATCGTCCTTCAAATTTTTTTCAACAAATGCTCCTGCAGTTCGAGAACAAGGCGCTAGGGGACCCAATCTCATGTCACTTCTTCCCTACCCCCAAAGCTATCTACCAACCGAAATTCGTGACCCTAGCATGTCCAGAACATGAGATATCAAAACCAGAAGTTCAGCTGCAGTACCTAGGAAAGCCGCCAGGGGGCCCAAAATCTAATCATTTCTAGGTCTCATGAAGACCTACCCACCTACCAAGTTTCATTCCAATCCATCCACTGCTTCTCGAGTTATCTTGCTAAATTACACACACACACACACACAGACAAACGCTACTGAAAACATAACCTTCTTGGCGAAGGTAATAATTGCCTCCGAACTACTAGATTTTCAGGCATTTAGAAAAAATACCTCCCAATGACTACTCCTACAACAGTCACATGTACAGATACCTCTTTTAGGACCTCTTCATTGCATAAAGGACACTCCTAGGGCCTAGGATTCTGAGTAGGAAAAAAATTGTTTCCTGTTTCCTGTTTTCCCTAGAAAAACCTACCAACCCTAGACTTTTTTTGGGATGGACTCCTGGAAGTGACATAAATCGAGCTCATCAACCTTTTCTAGCTGTTTTAGAGTGATAAAACGTTGTGCAATTGGGTCTTCTAACATTGACTCTGAAAATATAAGTGTCCTAATGCAAGTTTTACTTTGTTAAACTGTCTTGTATAAGTTGCACCCCTATATTATAGATATCACTGAAGTCTAAAAAAAAGATAATCCCTACCTACTGCCCCTAATTTTTTTCAGGACTGAAACAGGAAACACAACATTTATTTTCCTAGGCCTAGTACAATCTGGCCTATGGATTAATTATGTTAAGTCACCTGTCCTCATTACTGAGAAAGGGATTAAGTCAGGATTAAGGTGAATTGTACTGTAGAACATGAGTGTGGACTGTGAATCCTTTTGTACATACATTTCTTTAATCAGATTCAACAAGAGCCTCTGGTGTTGCCATTGTTTATCCATATGATCAAAAACTTGTACGACCTAAGTCACGAAAATAGTTTAAGGAATAAAAATGAACAATTTGCATCATAATCTCAAAATAAAGTTTACATTGACTAAGAAGAGAGGCAGTTGTCGTGCGGTTTCAAATAAATACAAGCAGTACTCAAAATCCTTTTCTCCTGTTACCTGCAATATAAGTTGTCAGAAATTCTAGTTGGAAAACACTTTGTGCAAAGTATTAACAACGTAATACAACATGAGCTATGTATGTTGTTATTTAGCTCAAATGCAATCCCAATGAAATGACCACCTGATGCTTGTAATTTGCAAAATATAAACAACTTGCATTTAATCAAACTAGAGGAATATACAGGCTAGGTACAATTATGAAGCACATAATTATTGAAAACAGAAACAGAACATTTCAAGGCCTTGTACAAACAATGTAGGGACTCATAAAAAACAACAACTAGAAAGCAATGCTGAAATAGGTTGGAACAGTAATTTCCAATTTTAAAAATTGAACTTACCTAGAAGATTCTTTTAACAGTGACAAGTTTGAAAGGTAAAGATACTGACCTCCAAATTTTCAATGACTATCAGTCCATCTTGTTCACGGAGTGGCCTAGTCTTAAGTGGACTGATAGTTATAAAAAATTTGGAGGTCAGTATCTTTACCCTTCAAACTTGTCAAGAATCTTCTAGTAACTGTATCTATACGTGACAAATGAATCTCGTCAACGATGGACCTGATTTATATGTTACAAATTACAGTTCAAACCTGTTTGAGAATGACTGTTACCAACACTAAGCTAAAAGAAGGACTACGAAGCAAAGTGAGCATGCCATACCGGGTGTCTCGACTCTCTGGTAGTGGTAGGGGTTGACGCAGACCTCCTCCCGTTTCAGACTGAAGGCGTACTCGCAGGTCTCGAGCGCTCGCAGCTCATGGTGGCTCTGCAAGTCCGGCCACCTCCACAGCCGGCAGTAGATCACGTGGGGAAGACCTTTTCTGTGGGACACCTGCAGCCGACCGTCCAGGGACCTGAAAAACACAGGTGGGAGACCTACATGAAGGTTGAACAGTTCAATAATCTTGAAATAAAAACAGGTGTGGGACACATGAAAAGTGTATCTGTATAGCCGGTATAACCACCCTTCAGTGTAACACACCAGCTTCTGTATCTGTATAGCCGGTATAACTGCCCTTCAGCTTAACACACCACCTTCATAGGCTCACGGCGCGGCGGCAGCTGGCTACATATTAAACCGATCGACTTGTCACACCTAACCCTTGAACATCAAACTCTAGACAATTGTTTAAAGCTATCCAATGACAATACCCCTACTGTACTTGGTGATAGCGAGTTCCACTATGTGATAGTTTGGTCTATAAAAAACATAGATGAGAGACCGACGGGATTCGTAGTCTTGAAAAACAGATAGTTGAGATACCCACGAAGTTTGCAGTTGGCTGGATTTTAAAAACACAGGTTGACAGATCTTTACAAAAAAGGCAGGTGTGCGTCCCAAGTTCGCACAGTGCGATGACCTTGAAAAAATATCAGTCACCTGCAAAAACTCAGATATGAGACCATTCAAGTTTACAACAATTGATAATCTTGCAAGTTGCAAAACACAGATGGGAGACCCGTGAAGAGACTATCATTCATAGTATATATGGCCTTGAATGTTCTTGCAAATACATGTGAGAGACACATGGCGGTCATAATGTGGTAATGCATCTGTTTTTTTATGACAACTTAACAGGTAAGTGTATGGGTTATACTATTATAGTCGTAAGAATCATGTGAAAGTACATGTAGCCAAGCTCACTAGAGTCATTTGAACTCTCCTGATAATACTATTACAGAAATAAAACCATTTGTGCTTTCTATGTCAAGTACAATAAAGCTGCGAGTTTAGTAGTATAGTGTAATTGCTGATTTCTTTTACCTTACCTTTATGTTCACGGTTTTCACCTCTGTACCGTGAACTTATCATTAGAATTAACAAATAATTCCTGGACTTTATTTTTCCTGCACCTGTCGCCACCGTGAACATATAGCTCAGTGAACATGTCCATTTTTCTCAGACCATGAACTTTTGCTACCGTGAACATAAAGCAGTGAATTACAGTAATGACCTTTCAGTTTTACCCTCAAAGATTCTGACTTTACATCTACCACATTCCTCAACTGATCTCAAACAAAGATAAAAGAATGAACTGCTCACATTTCAAATTCAAAAAACCTGTCTCACTCTCTCCATTTCCGTTAACCTTGTGTACACACATCAAGATCAAAATCAAGATGTAAAGAAACCCATCCCAAGAAAACATTCCTACCTGTCGACTACCTGTATACCTGGGTGTTTCTAAGAAAGCACCGCTGTCTTGATATCAGCGTATTTATCACACCAAACAGGACACACATTTGGCGGTTGAGCAATGACTCACGCAGGTATGTGTGAACCACAGGACAATGACCCTTGACATACATACCACCAAGGTTAAAATTTCCAAGTCTAACACACCTTTTAAAATCGTAATGTCTATGCAGAAAACTGTACGCTATGTTATATCGTTCCCTAAGAATGTGCTACAAGAAACACACCTGCACACTTAAGCTAAAGACATGCTTGCTTCTGGAAGGAACGAACGAACGAAAATTGTTCAGATGTCTTTTGTTCAATTCTATACAACAGAAAGGAGGGAGGGGGGCGGTAGGTACACGTGGTATATGCCTGATCGCTCCTATAGTTGTGTTTTTCAGTTCGATTTTTTCGACGTTGAACCAAAACTTAACTTTGATACAACCATGTACTGCATAAAAACATTTCAGAATCTTAATGTTCTAATTAGTTCTAATTAGTATTAATTACTAAAAAATCTAAAGAGCCACACCTTGAGCATACAGACAACCACACCTATCAAAAAAAGCAGTGTACCCTCCATTTTGAAACAGCAAAAAATTACACTATGACTATGCTTCGTTGAACCTCCTTGGTTGAACAACTCTTCACAAATGTATAATAGCCAAACTAATACAATTTATAGAATCAAAAAATTCAGTGTAATATATAAATACCTGTACTGTAGCGTCTGTGTGAGTGAATCGTTCAATTGCAGACAAAACAACTCTTATTTCTTAATATCACACTTTGGAGCAAACTACAAAGACTCGGGGGGGGGGGGGCTTTTTGCAAAAACTTACAGACTTTCCTCAAGCATTGTACTTTTTACTTCACCACAACCACATATAACCATCGTTTCTTTGTTTTTCATACATAAATAAGAATCCTTCCAATGTATTGAGGTTTTTTTTCGTTTACATTATTGATGAAAACTATCCCCTCCCCCTGTAAAAGTGGTATAGTCTTCCAAACCAATTTGTTACCACTTGAATGCTGTGGACATCTGAATTTCTGATGTAACAAAATCGTCCTCTTTCATTCTACGTCAATCTCAGGCTCTTTCAAATCAGTAACTAACCACCCTGGGAACTGCAAGGAACATGAATGGTCAACATTTTCTAGCTCTATGATCTGACACCTGAGTGATTAAACAATGTAAAATCAGTTGTTTTCCAACATTGCTCATGCAAGTTTTACTTGGTTAAACAGTATTGTACAAGTTGGATCCTAGTTCGAGATTGCCAAAGTCAAAAAAAGAAGAAGAAAAAAGATAATCCCTACCTACCGACCCTAATTTTTTCAGGACTGAAACAGGAAATACAACATTTTTTTTTCCTAGGCCTCATCTACTTCACATAGCCTTCACATTAAGCCAAACTTGCGTCAGAGCTTTTGACTGAGACATTACTTGTACATAAGCAGTGACGAACATACAATACTTGTCCTAGTAACATTTGGATCAGACACATCTCTGATGTCAATGATTCGCAATTTAGGTTGTTAATTTGTCAGAGAAACAGCTGAGGCCTGAGGTCTCCAGTTACACAACCTTACCTTGATTTTACGCTACACTAACTAAGGAAAAAAAATGTTCTGAAAAGGTTGCAAATTATCAAGTTTCTCCTGTTCTGATAATTCTTGTTGAACGATGGCTCCGTCTTTTACAAATTTTAGGCTCAGATTAAGAATAAAGGTATCTTCTTTCCATGTAATCCTTTTTTTTTTGCTTTTTTTCATGTTTTCTTCTCAAGTTTGGTGTACTTAACATAATGACATCCATAGAATTTAACTGTGTAGCCTTTAAACTATACCATAGCGAGAGAGTCAAGAGTTTCAGATTAACGTCCAAACCAACAGTTCCCATGCTATAGTCATTATAATATCATTAATAATCAGTGTCAACACAATCAATCTACAGTTCAAGTGACAACTTTGTCCGTCAAGTTCAAAATAAAGCATGGACATGTCAGATTTTAACGAAGGACTACCAGTTAAATATGCTATAGCTTAATTTCTTATAAGAAAACCAGAAATGAGAGCTATATGTAGCATGAAATTGACATAAAATTTATAAGATTGCGAATATGTTAACATCGAAAGAAACAAAAACGATGACTTTCACAACGAAGAATGTTCAAAACTTCCGTTCGAAATGTAAATATTTGGGTATCCAAATTCTACACATCACCACACTCTAGTGTAGGAACAAAAGACGTTGAACGCAAGCCAAAACTGGAAACAAAACGAAACTGAGAAAAAAAATCGTCACATACTCCGACTATAATCTAAGAAATGATGGCAACAACTTACTCTGATCCCTCCGAAAGACTGCTAGCAACAAAATTAGAGTAGAAATCGTGTTGAAATCTCGCAATAGTACACAAAATCGTACGCCTATCTATCTATACACACACACACCCATATTCGATACTTTATATGGAGTACCTTAGCGAATGTTGTCTTGATGCCAACGTACGAAAACGGTGGTATAAAATGTCACAGATTCAACGTCCTAGTCAACTTAGAATATGCTCGATGGAAGACGCAAACGGAAGTTATCCGTGGGTGGTTCAAGAATGTCTAAGGTGACTCCAGGTCGATGATTTTGGAGATTGAATCTCTCAAACGAGAACAAAGACAGAAACTTGAACCACGTAACAATGGAGGTCGCTCCATACACAAAGAATGGATTGTACCGCACCGGTCATGTGATCATAATATACACACGGGCACGCAAAACCAAGTTTTACTGTCTGCCAAGTTTGGCGACCCGATTTCAGGGACAAAATGGCTGAAAAAAAAATTCTTGTACAGAAAGAGAAAGTGCATGTTAATTTAAGTGTAAAACTAAAAGTGAAAGTCTTGAATTAAGAATTATGTATGTTAGACTTTAATTTGGTTGAATGAAATCTAGAATTTCAGACTTTTCTGATGAAAACTTGAACAAAATTTCAATAAGTAGACTTTTTTCTACACTCATAAGTTGGCAGTGAAACAAGGAGACAAAGACATTAAAAAGTGAGAGTGAAGCATTGTTCTTTGCTAATACATATGCAAATTTTCTGCATATATGCAAATTGTTGTGCAATTAGAGCTAAGTAAAGACCTGTAATGCAAAGATAATCATTGTTGTGTAAAAATGTAATCAAATGTAAAGATTTCACTTTGAAGTTAAATAGAAAGCGTGAGAAAAATATACAAGGAAACAGAAATGTTTTATTTTACGGATTACTCATTTCCTTGCCAAAAATAGCAGAGAGGCCCGTACAAGACACTGCATTTTCTTGCTGTCAAAAGTTTTGGAAATTTCTGAGGGAAAAAAAGGGCAAGAGATCATACCTAAATCCAAACAGTATCGGTTACAATTTGCGTAGGTATTAGAAGATGTAGCTTATTTGATTTTTGAGGGGATAGGAGTTTACAGACGTATTTTTTTCTGAGAATTTGAAGTTTTTAATCGGGGTGTATGTAAAATGACGAGGGCTCTACTAGATTTTGGCAGAAGCAAAATATCGGGGTGCACACTTATAAACCCAAGATGACATGCTGAAAATATTGCATACAGGAACAAAATACGCTAAATTAAGAGTCCATCTGGGAAAATCTGAGGGAAATCCTGGAGAAAAACGTCAAAGTTTCCGTCCTTGGGATGTGATTTTTTAACCCCCCCGAATTCAAGATGGCGGACCCAAAACAAACGCAAGTTTCTCCCGATGTCCCGGTCCTTACCTCGGAATCGTCACGCATTTCGTGTTGGGATCCTGTTGTGTGATGGACTTCTCAAGTTCTTCTAGCCCGCACGTCTTCTTGAGTTTCTTGACTAAACTTTTCACGGCTTTTTCGGACCACTTGTCTTCCCCTTCCCCCTTCTTCCATCCCAGGAGCCGCTTGACGATCGGAGGGGTAAAAGGAAGCATAGACGTCATGGCTTTTCTAGACTTTAACAAAGAGTCAGCAGGAAAAAGTCGAGGCCGACGGCTGCAGTGCTTTTCTGGGAAAATTCAGCCTGAAAACTGAGCCGACTGGGCGATTTCCGGCGAAGAAATTCAACAATTTCTACACCCACTCTTTACTTTAACTCCAGACGTCAGCCATTAGGAAGTGGCCATTCACTCCCTATTCTAGACAATATACGTCCGCCTCTCCATAGGGAGACCACAAATTAGTACGAAAGATTCCCGAAAACTAAAATAAAAGGTATTCAGTTCGCAAATACCCGTGTACATTGTGCATTTTTATCTATATTGCATTGTTTGTAATCTTTTATTGAGCTTATGAGGGAAAAAAGTACAAATTAAGGATTGAAAAGAGATGTCATTGTATCAATCCGAGTGGTGATGCGGCCAAATACCCGCCATCTATTTGCATGTTGGGGCATACCACTATGCTGAGGTAGCAGAGAACAGTATTTCACCTATGGGAATTTTTAATGAATGAATGAATGAAGACGTTTCAAAATTTCAAGTAAGGTGCAACGTTACAGGCATTGCACATAAAATGGATTATGTTTGAGTCCAAGGTACAGCTTGTGAAGTTTGCCGGTTCGTTCCCTTTTAAATCACTTTTTCTTTGACCCCTAGCGGAGGTTATGTGAACTACAGCGACGCACTGTGGGGTTGACTGCGAGTACTAACACTGCCGTTAGATGGCGCTTTTGATTCGTCTACTGATAGAAAAAAAAGTTGTCCTTTAAATATGATATGCCCGTTACTCACCGATATTGCCAGAATAATGGTATATAGATTAACATATAACGTACTGTCAACATTTCGAATGCTGTCCACTTAGAAATAACAAGAAGTATGTTAGATTGGGTTTACGGAAAAGGCTGGCTATCCTGGCAGGCTTAGGGTTTATGGAAAAGATGGGCAGGGCTAGGGCTACTTTGCAGGCTATCCTTCCTGTGCCCCAAAGGGTGTGCATGGGGGGTTTGGTCTCTAACAAATTTACTTGTCTTTATAGCTATGGGTCAGTTTGGGGGTGGCAATCACTGCTATTAGCAACTCGAGCAAGACTTACATGTAGTCATAGGAACTATGTTTTTATTTAGGAAGAAAATGATAAAATGATAAAATTCTTTACCAAATGTAGCTCTGAATATTAATTACGTAAAGTATGAAATAAAACCCGCACACGCAAGGAAAACTAGAAATAGATGCGATGCAACTGTGTACAAAAAAGAACTGTTTATTTACAACATCATATTAGCTGCATGTCTGTACAATGAAACTACACAGATGTACATGTTTATGACTGGCACTGGACTATTTTTTTCGTTTACAATACTTTTGAATACAAGAAGCTTGTTAAATTCAAACTATTAAGAAAAATAGGTGCATCAAATACTTCTTTCCATAACTCTTAAACATGACTATCTTTCTAACATATGCCTATGCAACTGTCAATAGCCTTTTCTGGAAGATTTGCCCACATTCAAATGCTTTGTTCAACATTTTACGGTAAAGAATTATGTTCGGGGAAAAGTAACTGACATAAAAATGTTTTTAACATCCAAAAGATTTGACATTTTTGCTGTACAAGTTGCTAAACATACACATTCCAGTGCCAAAAGGAGTTAGCTTTGTTGGCCAAAATTCTGACCAATCTTTTCATTATGCATGTTGTTTTTGCTTAGTTTCTTCTTCTTCTTCTCCAAACAGTGACCTCTGACCTGGTCAACATTGGATTTTTGGTCAGCATGAAATTATCTTTATTCAGAAATACATAAAGTTTTTGACAGAGCGATACATTCCACAATTTCTCTGCATAGATGTTTCAAACTGGAGACAGAACATTGTCAATGTTATTTAGCAAAAGCTGCTGTTATCCTCAAGTTTTTCTTTGGCCTTTGAGTTAGTCTTGCAGTTACAGTAGCACTTCAGTAATTGCCAGTAGTGTGTTATTACTGTCAAGACAGTAACTGTCAGTAACAGATCAGACAGAATAATCCTTAGGAAGCATCAGTACTTTTCAGTTGCATTGCAGCCGTAACAGTTAAGCTGCTTTACTGAAATGTTACTGAATGTGACTGTCAATAACCGACAGTTACTAGTAGTAACATTTCAGTCCTGCTAGTTTGCTATGGGATTCACTTATAACAGTTTAAGCCCAAAAAGTGCAACATAAACATATGAATGAAGAAGATACCTATTAAATACTAGGGCGTTATATTAGCATGAAATTTCAATTCATGTGGTAAAAAAATGTAGCCGTAATATTTGGGATGAGTTACATTCATTATACGTATTATAAGTCTTAGAGTATATCTTTGTGTATCTGGTATGAAATAAAATGTTGGTAGCTTTACAAGTTCGCCATTTTACAATACCACAAGCTGAAATAATATTAAATATCTCAATTTTCAGAATATAGGCATATGCAAGTATGTAACTATGTTTCTCAATATGTCAAAGCAACATAAACTTATAAACTACGAAAGACTTGCTAAATGTAACAGAAAAATGTCTGACTTTCATCAGAAATTAGCTGCTCTTTTCTAACATGTTTCTAAATAGAGTCAAGACATAGTACAAGATACAGTACAAAACTAAGAGTCAAATTTAAGACAGATTCTAGAAAAAAAAGACAAATCAAAATTCTACAAATTCTACTTCTGTGGCACTATTTCCTAGACACAAAACTCAAGTTACATGTTTCATTGATTCTCTGACTGAAAAAAACGTAAAAATCATGAAACCCCTCTAACTCTATCTCAACTTGACAAAGAAGTTTTAACTTCATATTTTCGTATTTCACAACTTACAGAATAATAAGTTAGAAGTGAAAAATGACACAAACAACCGGTAAAACATGTCAATTCCTCAACAGTAAAAAGCACATCTTGACAACAGGTTTGCTTACTGTTACATATTTTATGTAGCTAACATCTTTTTGACGACATGAAGTTAACAGGTGATAATAAACCCATGTTTTGTTCATTTATAACATTATAATCCTATTTTAATGTGATACCTGTATAGTCAAGCATAGATATCCTTTTTTGTATTTTTTTACTTAAACATTGACTTATATTGTTGAATCTTGTTGTAATCTACTCTTGTATATTCCAACCAATACTGAACTTGACCTTTGACATATTTAACACAGCTGCACCTTGTGACCTTTTGAATCTAAACTTTGACTTATGACCTTTGTCCTTTCACCTTTATCTGTTGTAATCCACTTTTTGTGATGGTTCAATGACGTAATGCAACTTTTTAGACCTGTTGACCTGTCACCTTTTTTGTGTGTGAACTTTGACATGCCTTGACCTTTGCCCTTGTCACTGCATGTGTGTTAGGTCCGAAAAGTGACCTTCCTGTGACCTTTGTCTTTTCATCTATTTCCATTGTAATCCTTTTTTGTGATAGTTCAACAACATAATTCAACTTTTCTTAGACCTGTTGGCCTTGTGTCTGAACTTTGACATGCCCTTGACCTTTACCCTTTGCCCTTGTCACTGTGTGTCGGGTACAAACAGCTGTACAGAGTTGGGGTCCCAGAGCAGGCGGGATTTCTGGAACACGAGTGACCAGACGTACGGGATGAAGAACTCCTCCGGCTGCTCCTCCTCAACGTACTTGAACCTCAGCTCCGGGAATTTCTGCAGAAACAAACAGAAAGTTTATTGCAAATACATGCCCGGGGTGTGTGAATCTGTTGGAGTGCATAATGACTTTTACGACATGTTGGCACATGCTGGCCATTTGTGAGCTGGCACTGTACTGAGTTCTTGAGTTCCGTGGAGCGTCGGCAGCCAGTAATGCCCTGAATGATTTAATTTTATTGATGACATCCACGGTTGCATTGATTTTCGCCTGTTCTCAACAAAAAAAACCCTCAGACAAGGCTCTGGCCTGTGTGCCATCCTACGTAGTTACCGCCAGCTTCCAATTGTCATTAGTTACCATGGACTACAGAGGAAGGTACCCAGGCCAGAGCCTCAGAGGAGGTTATTGTTTTTTTGAGAACAGGCGAAAATCAATGCAAGCGCAAATGCCATCCATAAAATTAAATCAGTGTGGCCTTACATGTCCTATCTCTGGATGTCTAGCCTCCGTCAACTTTGACCTAAATTCTGATTGGTGCAGGTAAAACTTGTCTGGTGCAAGTAATTACCCTCCATGAAAATGGGGGTACTGTTTTTACTCCGTTTCATGTTTGGTCTGATATCTGAAGATCGGTGAGAAGGAACTGTACGATATTTGGCAGATTGATGGATGGGGCCTTGGAGATTGTGTAGATTGACTTTGAGCCCCTGGTGATTGACCTTGGTACTGCAGTTTAATTTTTTTATTCTGTTGTTTTCGCGTTATGGACTGTTTGTGCGATATTAAGGTAGCATGTAGTTGTTATTACCATGGTTTAGTGGTTTAAATTTGGGTCCCCTAGCTGTTTGCGTTTGATATTTACAAAATGTTTAATGTTGGGCTTTTTGTGTTGAATGTTTGGAAAATCTGGGGGATGGTTTGGTATGATTTTTGGTATGTGGGTAGTTGTTGAGTCTCTTTGTGTTTTGGAGTGCATTAGCAGGTTGTCGCATATTTTTATTGCTTAATTTAAAAGGATTTTCACTTTTTCACCCCTACTTCATAATAGGATGGTCTGTTTGACCCAAAAGTTGGGACAGAGTGTTTTTGTTTATACCTCCAGCTAGCAGGTCAGACCCAGGCAGCCCTATCTATTTTTACCCCTAGACAGTCTGCAGGAAAATAAATCTTGTTTGTCTGGTCTGCAGGTCATTTGCCTGGTCATTGACCTACATGTACAGGCAAATGTAGCCTGGGTACCATCCCCAGTAGTATATTCGCAAACTCTATAACAGTTATAGAGTTTGCGAATATACTACTGGGGATGGTACCCAGGCTAAGGCAAATGACCTGCTGGCCATCAAAGTAAACAAACCATGGTAACAAGACACTAAATGCCTGCACATGACAGCTTTTTAAATACAAAGTGCCACCACAAATCATTCTGCTGATAAAAACAAAGTTTGACTCATAATATCTCTATTGAAATACACCAAAAGATTACAAAATAACAAGCTATTTCATGGAGGGATGATGTCTACGACTTCTCCTTGTTTTCAACATTACCTGCACCAGTGCATGTATGCAGAAAAAAGGGATTTCGAGCCCTGACAACACAAAGCAGTGCAGGCTGGCAAAAACAACATCCTTGCCAAACATGGGGTCATTGCCTCCAGATAGAACAATAACACAGACCTTTCCCCTACATACCAGTACTGCTACAGTCACAACAATGTACCATTGTTTATACAAGAACAACAGGTAAAACTACCTCAGAACTGGTATCAACAATCTTTGTCCTAAACAATCCTTACTGTCTGATTAGGGGATTACTCCAACTTTCAAATATCAGTGGACTTCATCCAGTCACGAAAATGCAAATGTTATCTGTGTGACGTCACGGAAGCGGTGGATTGCTCATTCCTTGACAAAGACTGGAGTTGTACAGTCGAAAATTTGGGAGAGTCCAATTTATTGTGTTGGATATTACAGTTTAAACTTGCTTCATAATGAGTTAAGCAATGATTTATTTGTGTGTCAGTTTATGCTCAGTACTAGAACAGTTTTGGTATCATATGAGCCCTTAAAAAGTTGTTGTTCCACCTGTACCTATTAGCCATACCCAATAATTGCTCATGCATGACATCAAAGGCATTGGCGTACGTGTCCCACTAACACATTAGCATGAAAGTGGGTGAAGGTCACTGAACTGTTGCTGTAGGACTAGGAGCAATGAACTTTTAACAAAGATTTCATACTGTCAACAGGGGTATCGGGTTTCCACCAGTACAAAAAATGTACAATGTGTATTTAATTATGCTGTTGTTATTAAAGTTTAACATTGTTACTAATTACTGTCAGGTTCAATGTTTTTTTGGAGCCCTCCCTTTCCATTAGTAATCTAAACACATCAGTCAGTGAAAGAGACATTCCACCTGTGGCCTGAAGGCATAGTAGCTGTCTGACGACCTTCGACCTCTACAAATAGAACAAACACCAACATGGCCGCCGCCCGTAAGTACTCTAGATCTGGCTCATTGGAGTTCATACAGGAGGAGCTGTCCTGTGGTATCTGTCATGAGCTGCTCACCAGGCCTAAAGTTGTTCCCTGTGCAGGTAAGACTTAAACTGTCTGCAGGATTTGCCTCTTTCTTGTGTTTTTTAGAGCCAAGAATAAATTCTGTAGCCTAGCCTGGGTGCCCAACTGTTGCCAAGGCCAAGGTACTTAATATACAATACAGACTAGCTTGTTGCTACAGGGTAGCTCCTAACGCTTACAGGCTAGCTCCTTAATTTGCTGTAAGGAAATTTGCCCCAAGATACCCCCAAGGAAATTTTACCACAGGCCTATAGCAGCTTGTTTTCCACACCTGTTCTCTCCAGCAGCCAAACTCCCCCAGCATGTTATCTCTCTATTTGGCCGATTTCTAATCTTTCCAGCCGCCTCCCGAAGCCTGGTAGAGGATTAGATGTAACAGGGAAACAAGAGGTAGAAACAGAAAGACACTCCTGGCCTCAATCCTGGAATGGTGACTGTTACAACAGGGCTAATTTGTTACAATCATTAATGCTAAAATTGTTTGTGCAGGTAAACACTCATTCTGCCAGCACTATCTGGAGAATGGTACTGCAGCAGAACTTCTGGTTTTGATATCTCATGATCCGGACATGCTAAAGTCACGAATTTTGCATGGTAGATAGCTCTTGGGCTCAAGAATAAGTGATGCAAGTTTGGGCCCCCTAGCAGCTTGTTTTCCACATTTTTTCTGCAGGTAACCACTTGTTCTGCCAACACTGTCTGGAGAGGTGGGCATCCATAGCCTCTACCAGGCTTGAGGGCACGGCTGGAATTATAGTAGAAATCGGCCCGAAATAGAGAGATAACACGCCGAGGGAGTTTAGCCATCCAGTTTACAGTTTGCCGGCCCACAAGCCTGTGGAATATCGCTATGTTCTTTGAAGTCCACTAATCGCTATCTAATAGGTGCCAAGTAGCTAAATTACCCTTTTATTGCTCTGCGACCGGACCGTGACGGAACTGTCAGGAGCGACGGCGACCGTGTAACATGTGACAGGAAGTGTCAAAGGTCACCAGGAAATTTCAAATAACGGTCAATCTCTGCTACTACAATTCTGCGGTCTGGTCAGTGTTTATTTTGATGACAGTATATACTAGTGCCAGTGTACGATGGACCGCGTTTTACGTGTTGGCAGAGATGTTTTCGAGTACGGCGCGCTGCGACAGGGGCAGGCAGATGCACTGGATTATTTACATCGATAATTATCACTAGCTTTGCTAAATTATCTTGAAAATAAGGAACAGAGACTCTCGAATATGCGTTTTGATGCAACGCGTAATTTGACCTTTGGCCTGAAGAAGCCGCCGGTCTGCCGGACGCGCCCCACCGCGCGTAAATTAATTTACGGCTTAAATGATCTGAACTCCGAAGCTACTGTCTTTGTACAGAAAACGAGTGGATTAGTTTTATTGCCTTTGAACATAGCGATATTCCACAGGCTTGTGGGCCGGCAAACTGTAAACTGGATGGCTAAACTCCCTCGGCGTGTTATCTCTCTATTTCGGGCCGATTTCTACTATAATTCCAGCCGTGCCCTCAAGCCTGGTAGAGGCTAGGGCATCCACACAGCCAAACACCCAGTCATGAATTTTGCAATGGTATAGCTCTTGTGCTAAGGAATGTGACACGAGTTTAAGCCACCTAGCAGCTTGTTTTATGTACTTAGTATTTGTTTTCCCCATTGTTTTTCCAGGTAAACACTCGTTCTGCCAACACTGTCTGGAGAGGTGGGCATCCACCCAGCAGCCCTTCAGGTGCCCGACCTGTCGCCAGCCCTCCCACCTCCCGGCCGCCGGGGTGTCGTGTTTACCGGACTGCGACCGGAGGATAGTCAACCTGTGTGACCAGCTACGCAGTCAGGGGGTGTCCGAAGCCTTCGAGCTAGACTTTAGGTGGATATTGAACGGTTCCTTTCTGCCATGACCAAGTTTCTACCATTTAATAAGGCCACAGCAGATAATTTTTATGGATGACATCAGCACGCGCATTAATTTTTGCCTGATTTTAGAAAAAAAAAAGAAATTTTGTTGCCCTCTGACAGTGGTCAACATGCCGAAAATAGGCAAAGATTATACGTGATGTTCCCACTGAATCAAAACCATTTGTCCAATGATAGAAAAGTTTTATTTTTCAAAGTTGTTTTGGTGTCTGAAGCGTTCAAATTGGACTTCAGGTAATCATTCAGGGCTCGAAATTCGTTTTTGGGCAGGTGTACCCAACCTAAAAATTGGGTGAACAAAAAATTTTTTGGGTGCAAAAAAAAGAGTAGAATGTCAGCAAAAAGTAATTATGTTTCATTCCTAGAGAAAAGTATAATAATAATGATAATTATTATTAAGCCTTCAAATTGGACTACAGGTGAACTTTACTTCCACTGTTATCAAGTTTTTAAAATTTATGAAACTTTAACAAAAGTAACATCGATAACAATCTGGTCAGTTCTTTACGTTGGATCAACCCCACTCCAGAATTTCGAATGCGCTTTCACAAAACCTGGATTTTTCACTTTTTTTTTATTGGATGCTTGGTCCGTGCATCAAATCTTTGCCCATTGCCCATATCTTTTCTGATACAACATTTTGAGAACCATAGATGGGATGTCATCCTAAGTTACACATATACGACCTAAAACAAAACATTCTGCTGAAGTGCTATGTACATTTACATTACAGTTTTGTGTAGGTGTAATATATTCTACCGGCTGGTGTCTTTGTGTATTGTGTAAATAAGCCTGGCAATTTGGCCTGGGCCACAACTTGGCTACTAGCCAACAGCTTCCCCCACAACTGTACCTACCAACCACTCACAGTCAACAACCATTTTTGGGGGCCCGCAAGCCCTTTTCCGTAGAGCGTAATCGGCCGTTTTAATTCTACGTAGAGCGTAGACGGACCGCTCTTCGCATTTTGCGTAGAGAGTATTAGCAGTTTTAATTCTATGTAATGCGTTGTAGCCACTTGGAATTTATCGTAAAGCATAATCGAGAGGTTTCCGAATTCAGCGTAGAGCGTTGTCGGGACCCCCCCTTGCAGGCCCTCATTTTTCAATGATCCCTTAAGGGGTTGTTGGATACAGGTTTCACTGTACTACTACTACTACTACTACTACGACTACGACTACTACTACCGTAACTACAGTACTACTACTACTACTACTACAGTAACTACTGTACTACTACTACTACTATCACTACTACTACAGTCACTGCTACTACTACTACTACAGTAACTACAGTACTACTACTACTACTACTACAGTAACTACACTACTACTACTACTACTACTACAGTAACTTCACTACTACTACGTGTACTACACAATTACTATTACTAGTAACACTACTATTTCTACTACTACTACTACAGATGTGGACTTCATGACTATGAAGAGTTCAGGGTGTTCTGTAAGCAGTGCCAGGTGCCTGTTTGCGAGGCGTGTTTGGAGGGACCTCACGACGGGCACCCAACCACGACACTGAAGAAAGCCTCGCAAGAAAGGACCCCTGCTGTCCAGGCATTGGTCAACCAGGGAAGGGCCATCCTGGAAAAATACGGCAAAGTTGTCCAAGGTTTCAGAGCGACTGAAGAACTCTTGAGCAAACAAAAACAGGACACAGAGACCAACATTTCTGCAGCGTTCGATCGTATCATACAGAAGCTCGTCAAAGCAAAAGAAGGACTACTGTCGCAAGTGGACGACATTCACAAACGGAATGTGGACGCCATACAAGATCAACTATCGGGGGTTCTCGCCGAAGTTTCCGAGCTTTCCAAAGTTTGCGAGAACGCAGACGAAGACATCACATTGGGTGGAAACAACCTGTTACAACACGAAGCCCTTCTTACAAGCATGGTGGGGAAATACAGGGACAAACAAGCCCCTACACCCAAACAACCACAAGTGGCAGTCTTCAACCCCACTGACGACAATGTTGACACCACGTCCATAGTAGGGTACATCTTTTCGCAGTCATTTTCGATCCCGTCATTCGCAATCCCAGAACCACCTGCAAGTCACGACGAAGAGGTCTTCGACCGTAACCACGGTGACCTACGCCAGGTTCCGTCTCGGAGCGTCACATTTGGCGGAAAGGGGGCAGAGGAAGGGAAGTTCGACAGACCGCGTGGGGTTGCGGTGTCGGATGAAGGGGTGATCTTTGTAGCAGACTACATCAACGCTCGTGTCCAAGGTTTCACGATGGAGGGAGAGTTTGTTAGCGCGTTTCTGACGGTCACGTCAGATGGACGGAAGGTGTTCCCGTACGATGTAGCCATAGACAGAGAGGGGAACCTGTGGGTGGTGGGGCACACCGAGAGTCAGTCTGACTACTATGCTGTACAGCTCAGCAGAGAACAGGTATGTAAGCATGGAAAGTAGATTGCTACGACTTTCCCTTTACTATACATGCACACTGTACATGTATATCGTGCACTTCCTATGAACAGTATCTGCTGCTGTATAGCTGGTATAACCGCCCCTCGGCATAACACACCAGCTTCGCAGGCACACCAAACAACTTGTTACACCTAGCCTTTGAACATCTAACTCTAAACACTGTTGAAAGCCTAATCTCCAAGCAGATCCCTTTGGTGGCAAGACAGTATCCATTAGCCAGAGGTTGCCGGCCACCGACGGGTGGTGGGGCTAAAGACAAAAAAGCAGCCATATATAAAAGGCTAAATGATCATTCCCCCACAACCTCTGCTTGGAGAGTATTGAAAGCCATCTACTAGTAGTGATGAAATCGATGCCCTAACTACTAGTACTAACATTTAGGTGGCAATATCCTTTCTTACAGTCTCGTACAAAATAGTTTGTTTTTTTCTCTCCCTGTTAACAGGGTAGGGTGCTGAAAGAAATCAGCCTGGCACACACAGGGTTGATCCGAGGCATAGCCATCCACCCCACCACCAACCACCTCCTCATCACCCAGTCCGACACACAGGCCAGCAGTGACCTCTGGCAGTTTGAGGGGGAACTGCAGGTATGTAGCTGAGGTGGTTTTCAGCTAGGTTCTTTAAAAATGGATGCAGGCACGCGGCGGGGCGGCAGCTGGCTATATTACACCAATCGACTTGTTAAACCTAACCCTTAAACTTCTAACTCTAGACATTGTTTAAAGCTATTTAATGACAATGCCCCTACTGTACTTGGTGACAGCGAGTTCCACTCTGCGATAGTTCTAGGACAGAATGAATTCTTGAACGCCTCAATCCTTGGTTGATAACTCTGGAACTTGAGGGCATGGCTATTTCTTGTTCTCTTCTGGGCTGGTATTAGGTACTTCAGCTTCAGTGTAAAAATGGCTAAGCTAGCCATCACAAAAAGATCAACAAAATGCTACCTAGTAGAAAAGATGACGTTAAAATGTGCTCTTCACCCTTCTTACAGGTGTTCACCCCGGAGGGGGTCCTCCTAAGAACTGTGGGTAGGCAGCAGGGGATGGAGTACCCGCAATATACCAGCGTCGACTTACAGGGAAACATTCTCGTGTCGGACTTCAAGGACCACTACGTCTACAAGTACAACCAGAGCGAGCAGCTATTGGTCAAGTTTGGTGGGGAGGGCCAATCAGACGGTCAGCTGAAAAATCCGTGCGGCTTGTGCTCGGACGGTTCTGGAAACAACATCATTGTGGCCGACAGCGGTAACAGCCGCGTGGAAATCTTCGACGGGAACGGCGCGTTCCTCGGACACGTTGCCACGGGGATGGCCAAGCCGTGTGCCGTTGCCATGGCAACGCAGGGGCAGCTGATCGTGACGGACTCGGAGGACCATACGGTCACGGTTATACAGGACGTGCTGGGGTCAGAGTGAGAGGTGAAACCAATCTCGAACCTGTTTTACCTAGCTTACTGAACAGCTAGTCTTCCACAGAGAGGACAGACTGCGTACAGAATTTTTTATAGGTTAATATTCGACACTGCCACCGATGGATAGTTGTGTAACCCTAGCAGCAAGTTATATACATTGTATATTACATTGTACAGTCAATGTACATGTAATATACTTTCTTCAGAAAAAATCATCTGCAGAAGTGATACATGTTTAAGTTTTTCTTATTTCATTTACGTACATACAAGACTATACAAGTCTCTAGTATATTGTTGTTATATTCATACTTCATGAGAAGGTTTATACTTAGAAGTCACTTTTATGTATCCAATCAGCAGTTTTACTAGGTTAAAGTTTACCAAGTTTCACACAAGCACAGTACATTCTGCCAAAGTGTTTGTGCAGGATTGTTTCATTGTTGTAAAATAATTGTATGTCTTGGGTTATTGGGTGTAAAAGAAATAGCTAAGCCACCTACTGCGATACAGATAAATAAACAAACAAACAAACCTTGAGTCTGTCTCTAGGCCACTGCCTGGCGCCCAGTTCAATGACCTCTAACACCTCGTGTGGTTCTGAAGGTCGTGTGGGACACTGCTCCATCTTAGAGTTGAAGTACGTGATCACCTGGGAAAGGTCAAGGTTCAAAGTTCAAATCAGAACAGTCCTCCTGCAGTACCAAAGTCAGCCAGTAGGGGCCTAGCATTATGATATGGTATTTTCTATATCTATATATCTATATCTGTCTATCTATATATATGGTGAGAGGAGGCTAAATCCCTCCTGCTATAAAATTGCAACATGATGTAACCCAACACCTGTTACCATGGTGCCAGACATCTGGTTCTGGTCATTGACCTTATTTGTTTGGAGAAGAAAAAGGAGAGGAAGAAGAAGAAACAGAGCAATAACAATATATTTTCTTCTGCAAAGGTAAACATAAATAGTTCACTTAGCATGAAAGTTCATCTGTGTTGGTACAAATCATTTTGAAATAAAGACTGAACTTTAACTTCCAACATCTGGCACATATGACCCGCTACTACGGTCATGTGTCTCTGACGTCACGTTCCAAGAGTAGACGGGTCCATTCCGTGAACAAGGTTGATGGAGTCAACCGAAAATTTGGGGTAAGTCCCAATTCTGTATCTAGTGTTGGAAGTTAAAGCTCAGTCTTTATTTCATATAAATAGTTCACAGTTAACATACAGCATATGTTAAAACTTACCGTATCAATGTTCTGTATGATGTCCTGAAAGGTGTGGTGAGTGCGAAACTGTTCGAACAGGTGTCTCTTGTGCAGGAGAGCGTACACAAGGTGTGGGTTCTGCTGCAGCTGAACTATTTCACAGCTAACAGCATGCAAATGTTAAAACTTACCGTATCAATATTCTGTATAATGTCCTGGAATTTGTGATGAGTGCGGAACTGTTCAAACAGGTGTCTCTTGTGCAGGAGTGCGTACACAAGGTGTGGGTTGTGCTGCAGCTGAACTATTTCACAGCTAACAGCATGCATATGTTAAAACTTACCGTATCAATGTTCTGTATGATGTCTTGGAAGGTGTGGTGAGTGCGAAACTGTTCGAACAGATGTCTCTTGTGCAGGAGTGCGTACACAAGGTGTGGGTTGTGCTGCAGCTGAACTATTTCACAGCTAACAGCATGCATATGTTAAAACTTACCGTATCAATGTTCTGTATGATGTCTTGGAAGGTGTGGTGAGTGCGAAACTGTTCGAACAGATGTCTCTTGTGCAGGAGTGCGTACACAAGGTGAGGGTTGTGCTGCAGGGAGCTGGTCAGACACGAGTTGATGATCTCCAGCACCATCCTGATTACCTCCTCAAGGATGGCCAGGTCCTGGGTCTGTAAAGGACCAAAGGTGCAGGGCTTTAGTCCCAAATGTCAATTTCATGATGTGTACATAGTCATAAGACTTTTGATAACTTTGACCCAGTATTGACGTCACACTTCAAAGAAGCCACGTGACAAGCTTCACTGGGTCAGTCTACAGAGGAAGACCAGAGTGTTGGACCAAAAGTCTTAACTCTAAACAAGTCATAAGACTTGTAAGTACAATGTATGACCATTTGGCGTAACACACCAGCTTCACAGGCACGTGGGCAGCTGGCTACATTACAACGAACAACTTCTTACACTCAATCTTTGCACATTTCATTGTAGTCATTGTTTAACCCTATCTAGTGATAATGCCCTAACTGTGCTTGGTGGCAACGAGTTCCACTCCATGAAAGTTATGAGAAAATACGAGTTTTTGAACACGTCAATCCTTGGTTGATAACTCTAGTACTTGAAGGCATGGCTGTTTCTTGTTCTTTTCTGGGCTGGTATCAGGACTTAGTGGTTGGTACATGTACATCACCAGTTTATTACATTTGTAAATCATGCATAGTCTTGACGTTACCGATGTTACTTACATAGTCCTGTAGATGTTTGACTGTGGGGTCAGGCGAGGTCACCAGCTCTAGGAATTTACTGTGTTTCTTACACAGGAGCTCAAACAAGCTGGGGACAAAAAAAAAAGATAAATATCATTGACACAACATGAAATAAAAAAGAATGTCAGTAGTATTCTATCTATCAATATTCTATCTAGTCTAATGTAGCATAGAATTAGAAAGATCATATTTGCAAAGCACATTCATAATATTTACCAACACAAACTAATGCTCTGTTTATTCTTACTCAAACACATTGAAATATATAGTGATCATCCCCTTCAACTCTGTCCTGCCACTTGCTACATAATTTAACCCAACACCACAGGGTGTCTGCTACTGCACCAGTTACCATGGTGACAGTCATCTGGTCCAGGTCATTGACCTTATTTGTTTGGAGAGGATGAAGAAACAGACCAAACACAATATGTTTTCCTTCTGCGAAGGTAAATATAACAAAGCTAGGATGAAGTTATGCTTACCTGATAATTCTCTGTGCCACATACTGATGTAGTGAGTGGAAGTGTGCAGACATGTTGGCCAGGGCTGCCAGACAGTTGGTGTGCAGGTACTTATCCTAGGAAGAGAAGGGAAAAATTATTACTACCCAAAACATGGCAGCAAGGTGGCCTTGCTTGTGGTTAAAGGCACTCTATGTAGTTTTTTGACAATTCAAAAAGTATATTTTTCTTTCTTTTCTTTACATAGTACATTGACTTAACCCTTAAGTATTCCAAAATCATACTCCGCAACAAAAAATACAACATTCTTGCTCCTTAGAAGCTTAGAAAACTGTGAATGATCTTCTATTCAATCTCTGGCCACACAGCACATATGGTATTGTCCACTGCCAGTGGTTTGACCTACATCCCAGTGGGGTGTCAGTTGATAGCTTACCAGTTTCTGAAATATCTAATCGTTTACCTGATGTTTTTATCTCTATTGAAGGGATAATGACCACAGTTTATCCATGCCCCAAAAAAATACTCCAAGTTGATAATTATATTCCACCTCATGTGAAAGATATTAGTGTTTTCTAAGGAGGCTATATCTTGTCACATGTGCCCCTGTCAATCAAGCCTGGCATGCCCGGGCCAATTAGCCACCCCAGGGGGGGGGGGGGGGGGGCAACCCCTGTATGTTGTTGTTGTTGCCCAGAGCAAACCGGTGGCACCGAGAACCGAACAGGGACTGTTTGAACGGACAAAATATACGTAAAAAATGTGAAATAATGACACAAATGTGTTGAAAAGTGATAGGAACTGTTAATAACACTGAAATTTGGTATAATCAGAATATTTCAAATTTTTGCGCAAAAAACTACATAGAGTGCCTTTAAGGTTGTTGACTCAGAATCTGAAGGTTCTGGGTTCAAATCCCTGAAGGAAATAGTGCTGTGGGAAGGGAACTATTTCCTCACTTCACTCACAGGTGTTTGTCACCTGTTACGTTGGTCCTTCCACAAATGTGGTAAATCTCAAACAATAGAGTAAAACACAAGTCTATTGACTTTGACTTGAATGGCCAAGACTCGCAGGGTTCGAACCCGGGACCTCTTGGTTCTGAGCCAAACGCTCTGCCATTATGCCACAAGACCCCACATATTGTACTCACTGTACTAAATGGAGATCTGTCAACTAAAGAAACAAATAAGTTGCCCCCACCCTCATCCGTGTAATGTTGAACTGTATAGTCCTGATGACCACCAGGATGAGTAGACCCCCCAGGCTGACTTTGTGTAACGTTCTCTCTGTGTACCAGGGAACTGACTTCAGGATCTGCAACAAAACAGAAACTGTAGTTAGCATGAAAGTTCATCTGAGTTGGTAAAATACATTAAGAAAAGTAAACTGTGGGGGCACCAAACTGGTGCACCAAAATATTTTCGTAGGTATTTTTGTACATATCAAATTATATCAGTATACAGGATATTCTTGGCAACTAAGTGTCAGAAAAATAATAAAATGTTTGTTGTAGTACTTGTTTAAGAATTTCAAGTTAGCTCCCATTTCAGATTCAAGCTCAGAAGAGGAGCAGTAGGATCTGTAATTAGGTTCTGTTTTATATGATGCACCCAAACAATTTTATGTGCACCTAATTTTTAGGTTGAGTGCACCAGTGCACCTACTAGTATTCCCAAAAATGAACTTTGAGCCCTGCAGCACTACTGTAGAGTGTATACTTACTATTTCATGTACAGACTTGCTGAAAGCGTCATCTTCACTGAGGATAAGGATGATGATAAGAGCCATGTAGATGTGGTGAGAACTTCTGTCTGCTACATGGTACAGGGTCTGTAGGATGGGCAACACCTGGGGAAACATATAACAGACAATGCAACAGTGCCATCTAGCAGTTTTGTTGAGTATTGCACATCTCATAATATTGAGAGCCATATACATGTACATGTAGATGTGATGGAATCTTCTATCTGCTACAAAGTAGTAGTACACTAACACTGTTAGTAACAGTGTATAGGATGGGCAACACCTGGGGAAACATGGACAACATTTACAGTCAATGCAACAGTGCCATCGATCTAGCAGTTTTGCTGAGTATTGCACATCTCATGTAGATGTGGTGAGAACTTCTGTCTGCTACATGGTACAGGGTCTGTAGGATGGGCAGTACCTGGGGAAATATGGCAAACATTTACAGTCAATGCAACAGTGCCATCTAGCAGTTTTGCTGAGTACCGCACATCTCATGTAGATGTGATGGGAACTTCTGTCTGCTACGTGGTACAGGGTCTGCAGGATGGGCAACACCTGGGGAAACATACACGTAAGTCAATGCAGAAGTGCCATCTAGCAGTCTTGTTGAGTACTGCAACCTATAATGTTGATGAAAGCTCTTAGGATTTAAGAAGACTAACATCTTGAAAACTTGCTTCATTATTTGTATCAAGAAATTAAGCCTCCGTAGCAGGCTTAATTATAGAACTGAAGGTTTGGTGGTCTTCGGTTGTTTTCTGGTTAGCCCAGTTCTAGAAACGGGGGTAATTCAACCAGGCCGGCTATGTTGTCTATATACAATCAGAAAATAGCACATAAAAGCTCCCAAAGACCCTGAAGACCCCCAAAAGCCCCAGTTTTTGGCATGCTATGGAGGCTAAAAAAAGTTCTGCCCAAGAGATCTATGACTTACCAATGCTTCTATATTTAATCTTGACAAGACGAAGGTTTTGAAGTGTTGGTTCCTATGGAGCAGTATGTACAACAGGAGGATAGTAGAGTCGTTGTTCAGTTGACCACAGATGGCGTTATACAGGCTCGCGAACTTGATGTTGAAGGAAGCATCGATCTGGGCTTCTGTACTCGTCTCTGTGAAATAAGAAAGAATTTTTTTAACGGGGTGGTTCAATGCAAGGCCTATACGACCACTTCTCGGCATTGAACTAGAAATATGAGAGAAACATGGCCATGTCAAGAGATGGCGGTGAACGTTTGATTTGAAAGCCTGTAGATTGTAGGTTGGTGGGAAACACTTGTCAGGGAGGGAATTCCAAAGCTTGGCCGTACGGCATTTATGAAGGTTAGACATCCAGGTAATAAGATACGTCAAAAAGCAGTTGCTCAAGCAACTGGATATGATTTTGGAAATGGTCAGATATTTCAGGTAGCATCCACTAGCTTTTGTTGGTGACTGACGAATGCTAGTGGATACTAGCTAGGTCACTGACGAAAGCTAGTGGATACTAGCTGAAACGTCTGACCGTTTCCAAAATCATATCCAGTTGCTGGAGTAACTGCTTTTTGGCGTAAATGTTTGCATTGTGTAACAGTATGATGATCAGTGGTAGAAATACTTTTTTCAGTATTCTGCCATATTGCAGAATGTCAAATTTTTGTTTAAAAATATAATAAAAAAAAATGCAATTTAAAAATAGTTTCTGCAAATACACACTTACCGGTAACAGTGAAGCTTGTCACATGGCTTCTTTGAAGTGTGACGTCAACACTGGGTCAAAGGTATCTGTTGACGTCACACTTCAAAGAAGCCACGTGACAAGCTTCACAGGGTCAGTCTACTGAGGAAGACCAGAGTGACTGGTCGAAACCTCTAGGTGTGAGAACTTTTTGTGTTGGACCAAAAGTTTTAACTTTAAACACGTAAACATTTATTCATTGGACCAGAAGCATTCTTACCTGGAATATTTACAAACGAAATTAGGGCTTCTCTGTACGGGTTTCTGGTGTCTTTGTCATTCCCACAGTGATTGGCTAAAACTAGCAGCAGCAACAAGCTCTGATTGGCTAATGCTGGGGTGTTGGCTATTCCATCCTCCGGATGCCCTCCCCCTCCTATACCTAACGTCAGAATCGTCCAAATTCCAGCTGAAACACAAGACGATAAATTGTAGGAAACGTGACAACATTTTTTAGCAACTGAAACTTCAAGAAAACAGCACTTACATCTTGAAGAAAACACACAAGGAAAGGCATGTTTTAAGTTAAAACTTTTGGTCCAACACAAAAGTTCTCTCACCAAGAGCTTTCGACCAGTCACTCTCGTCTTCCTCAGTAGACTGACCCAGTGAAGCTTGTCACATGGCTTCTTTGAAGTGTGACGTCAACACTGGGTCAGTCTACTGAGGAAGACCAGAG